ATCAATGTAAATTATATATATTTTTATATCCTTTGTAAAAGTTAAATTTGTTAACTGTTTACTCTCTTTTACACTTTACTTAATAAACTAAATGAGTAGATTTAAGAAACCTTGTTTTGACTTTTGAAGAAAAACGCCTTAAAATATCAGACTAAAGATTTGAATGTTTGCATCTGCAGAAAGAAGCAAATCTGGTCAGGAGACAAAGACTTCTGCCCAAGTTCTGCACCGACTGTCCGGAGGTCAGGGATTCTCCACATTCTCCACATTCTCCACATTCTCCACATTCTTTTAGATGTGTGAAATGTTCTTTTTTAGATTTGTATTCCGCTGCTGAAGCTGAGTGAGGAACCTGTCTCTCTCTCCTCAGCGTGTGATTGGCTGGCTGGAGATGAAGGAGCTGATGGACGTCTACCAGAGGAGCGTGTTCAGCAGGGCCGTCGTCCACAAGCTCCTCCCCCCCCACTACAGCGAGCTGCTGTACCGCGTCCAACACACGCTGCAGCACTGCGTGAGTACACAAGTACTTATGGTCAGATGCACACACAGAATACCCACGCACACCGACTCATGTGTACTCTGTGTACTTTGTGTTCAGGTTTCTTCCTCTAAATCTTCAGAATGGTTTAAAATCATCAGGAAACTGGAAAGAAAAATCCAAAAGGTAACAACTTCTAGTACCGACACTTTGTACATGATAGTATACCTAATATAACTGCCTACTGTGTACTACTACTACTATTGCTATCAAGACTTACAAGTATTACTCCTATGCAAATTATTACCACTTATTTTGTTAGCTAATACTAATGCTGCTTCTAAAACTACTACTACTGCTAGTACTACTTGTAAAACTCCAGTCACTAGTAATATTACTGTCACTACTACTGCTATGAATGCTGCTAATACTACCAGTTATACTACTACTTGTTGTTGTTACTTACAGCCACGAATACCACTAATACTTGCATTACTACTTGTATTAGTAGTAGTGCCTTTGCTGAGTGTGCGTACTTACTCTGTGAATACTACTAATACTGCTAATACTGCCTGTACTACCTGTACTACCTGTACCTCAGAGGAGAGACAAAGGAGCGCTGAAGGCCGTCGGAGAGTTCACCTTCATCCTCAGGTGGATCGATGAGCTGAGCCAGCACCGCAGCCACTAACATCTTCATCATGGTCATCATCGTCGTTATGAACAACCTCTTCATCATCATCGGCGTTATGAGCGACCTCTCATCATTAGCAACCTCTCATCATCCTCGTCATCATATTTATCATCATCATGTGAACAACACCTTCATCATGATCATTGTGAACAACCTCGTCATCTTCATCTTCGTCATCATTATGAACAACCTCTTCATCTTCGTCATCGTCATCATTGTGAACAACCTCTTCATCTTCGTCATCGTCATCATTGTGAACAACCTCTTCATCATCATTATGAACAACCTCTTCATCTTCGTCATCGTCATCATTGTGAACAACCTCTTCATCTTCGTCATCATCATTGTGAACAACCTCTTCATCCTCATCGGCACGATTGTTTTCAAACATCCTCATCTTCGTCATCGAGTTCTTGAATATTACCATTTTTTACATATTGATTTGTTTTTTGAATATTTAAATTGCTTTATTTTTTAAATAAGTTATTTTATTATTTATTGTATTTGCGTATTTGTTAAAAGTACTTGAAAGTGTTTTGTGTTGAATTCGGATGAACAAAAATATTTTTATACGAACTATTGTACGTTGGTCTTTAAAGTGGAATAAAGTAGATTGAACGCATCCTTGTTTGTGATCCGTTACCTCCCTCTGCTGGCCGAAGCAGCTACTGCAGCACGAGGACACGTAGTGATGTCACAAGGAAAGGAAGGAAGGGAAAGGAAGCAGGAGAGAGCAGGTGACGTCAAAGAAAACGGGGAAAAGAGAAAAGAATCGAGGGCGAGTGGAAAGAAAATAAAGTTTGAGGTTCAGGTTTATGCAATTCTGAATTCTGAAATGATTCAAAGGCAAAACTGAGTCACGATTTGTCCACTTGAAACTCAGCGAGGTCTCCGCCCCCAGGCGCTGAGTCATCGCCGCGCTGACTCAGCGCCCCCCCGGGCCGAGGAGGCGGGACGCTGCGCTTTGGCCTCTTCCGGCGTTTCGTTTTGGCGGCTCAGAACCCGCCGTTCGGAATGAAGAGTCATCAGAACCGTTAGCTTGAATGCTAACTGCTGCTAACAGTTTAAAACCTCTCACATACATCAGAGGTCAGGGGTCATCCGACTGAGCGTCACTGCGTCGCTGCAGGTGGGAAATTCAACCCTCCACCGCACAAAGGAGGATGTGGTGTGTGTGTGTGTGTGTGTGTGTTTGTGTGTGTGTGTGTTGACGGTTGGCCCACAGGAAAAATACCCGTCTAGTTCAGACTTCTAGGAAACACAAAGGAGATAGTTTAGATGTAGGAGACCCCACCACCACCACCCAACTAATTCCAGTGTATTAACATTTACTTAGAAAGCCAACTGGCAGGGTGTGTGTGTGTGTGTGTGTGTGTGTGTGTGTGTGTGTGTGTGTGTGTAAGTGTGTGCGTCACAGACTGGCAGAAATTATTCATCCGATCTACAAGAAAAATCATTTGACTCAATTCACCTGTAAAATCGTCATTTTGTTCCGATGTTCAACCTCCTAAATTCTGCTCATGCTTTTGGTTCAAGTTTCTCTTCAACACAACCAGCGTAACCATGGAAACAAACGCAGTGTGTCCTACGTACTGTTCACAACGACTTACTTTGAAGACTCAAGTATGACGTTTTTTGCTTTTTGCTATTGTAGGGAGCTGTCAATCACAGTAAGCCCCGCCCTAAAGCATCCCTATCTTTATGGTCTGTTTGACTCTAAATGGACCATAATTCACTAAATGAACATCATCTGTATTGAAGAAGACTTGAAACTAGAGACTGAGACCATAAACTAATGTTTACAGTGTTTACTGAGGGAATAAATCCAGAGAGAAGTAGAGTCATTTTCTCATAGACATCTATGGGAGCAGAGAAGTCGCACCCTGCTGGTCACTACTGAGAATGCAGCTTTGACTCATGAAGCTCTGACGTCACTTCAAACCAACGTGTTCATAATCAGTTTATGATGTTGAATAATAATATATTCAACAATATGATTTTTGCCGCGACCGAATGTTCTCTTTTGCTATTTTAAATAGTAAGTAAGCGTATTGTTTACTTAAATGGAACATATATTCATATGTAACCTCTATGATTCAGAGGAAAACTGAAACCACCAAAAGACACAGATAGTCTCCGTTGTTGATCCCGCAGTTGCTACGGCAACGCAACATCGACCAGCTGGAAAAAGTGTCGAGCTTTTTGACTCAGCACATTTTGGGGAAATCGGAACTTTGCATTGCGTGTGATGCTGGAACATGAGAAATATAGCAATATACTTTAAGTGTAAATGGAGCGAACGCCGGAGTTAATTAATCCGGGGGGAGGAGGGGGGTTGGGGTAAATATGCTGTGTAATAATGAATAATTAAAGCCTTCCTAACATGAGAGAGGATATAGCTTGGTGTTCAGAATAGCTTCACATTCACTTCCAGCAGCGTCACTTATTTAGATTGAAGCTTCAAATCCCGAAGGTTTCAGATTTCTATTTACTTAATTCACATATTTATTTGATGTTTCTTCACACAGGTTGGAGTTAAATGAAAAGCAAGAAGCCTAAAATGAGCTGCAGTGCGACGAAGGAATGTCTTCTGAAGCTTGGAGAGCTGATGGAGCATGCAGGTCGGCTCTGGATGAGAAACCGCTTCACCCCACAGAGTGTTGGGAGTGTTGGCAGTGTTGGGAGTGTTGGGAGTGTTGGGAGTGTTGGGAGTGTTGGCAGTGTTGGCATTGTTGGGAGTGTTGGCATTGTTGGGAGTGTTGGCAGGGTTGGGAGTGTTGGCAGTGTTGGCAGTGTTGGGAGTGTTGGGAGTGTTTGGGAGTGTTGACAGTGTTGGCAGTGTTGGGAGTGTTGGCAGTGTTGGCAGTGTTGGGCGTGTTGGGAGTGTTGGCAGTGTTGGCAGTGTTGGGAGTGTTGGGAGTGTTGACAGTGTTGGGAGTGTTGGGAGTGTTGGCAGTGTTGGCAGTGTTGGCATTGTTGGGAGTGTTGGCAGGGTTGGGAGTGTTGGCAGTGTTGGGAGTGTTGGCAGTGTTGGCAGTGTTGGGAGTGTTGGCAGTGTTGGCAGTGTTGGGAGTGTTGGGAGTGTTGGGAGTGTTGGGCGTGTTGGGAGTGTTGGCAGTGTTGGCAGTGTTGGGAGTGTTGGGAGTGTTGGGAGTGTTGACAGTGTTTGGAGTGTTAGGAGTGTTGGCAGTGTTGGCAGTGTTGGCATTGTTGGGAGTGTTGGCAGGGTTGGGAGTGTTGGCAGTGTTGGGAGTGTTGGGAGTGTTGGGAGTGTTGGCAGTGTTGGCAGTGTTGGCAGTGTTGGGAGTGTTGGCAGTGTTGGCAGTGTTGGGAGTGTTGGGAGTGTTGGCAGTGTTGGCAGTGTTGGGCGTGTTGGGAGTGTTGGCAGTGTTGGCAGTGTTGGGAGTGTTGGGAGTGTTGGCAGTGTTGGGAGTGTTGGGCGTGTTGGGCGTGTTGGGAGTGTTGGGCGTGTTGGGAGTGTTGGGAGTGTTGGCAGTGTTGGGAGTGTTGGGACTGTTGGCAGTGTTGGGAGTGTTGGGAGTGTTGGCAGTGTTGGGAGTGTTGGGCGTGTTGGGAGTGTTGGGAGTGTTGGGAGTGTTGGGAGTGTTGGGAGGGCTCTGGGTCGCCTTCTTCTCATCCAAACTGGGAAACACATTGTAGCTGATTAGTGATTTTCTCCTCTTATGGTCCTGCTGCAAACTTCAGGCCGCTACAGTTCTTGCAGGCAGCACATTCATGTACATGCAGCTTGCACACAAAATGCACATTAAGCTAAATGTGGGTTTATGCTGCAGTGAACCACACACACACACACAAACACACACACAAACACACCTACACACACACACACACACACACTCAGTCATGTCACTAGCTTAACCTGAGGATAGCGTGTTCTGCACTACTACGCACAAAATTCTATGTAAGATCTGAGACTGGTCTCCCTCCATACGTGTGTGTGTGTGCGCTCGTGAATGGAAGTGAATGGAAACCTGACCAGGGAGTCTCCTGTGTGCACGAGTTTAGCAGCAGCACGGCGACTTTTAGAAGAAATCTGTTAGTCGATGCCGCTGCTGAAAGCCCACAAACCACAGCGACACACAACCACACAGAAACACAGACTCACACAGCGAGACAGGCAGGGATGCAGACGCCTATATATACGCAGGCCCACGGGTCAACAGACAGCATCATTGACTCGACTCAGCCCACCGCTCTTCTTGCAGAACAAACCGCCGTGAGCTGCCCTGAAGTCATCATGTCTCAGAGCGGTGCTTCTCTGTGTCCACTGGTCCTACTGGTCCTACTGGGAGGTGCGATGGCGTCTGCGATTTTCAAGAAGGAAAACGACCACGAGTTGATAGTAAACATGCTGGTGAGTTTGCCCGGGCCGTTCCACAGGCCTCCGTTCTGGATCGTCTGTGGTTTCCGTGCTGGTGACTAAAGGGATTCGATTCACAATGATGGTTTTATTTCAGGAACTGGTCCTTAAGAGAACATAGAAGATGACTAGATGATTTATTATTAAGGGTTATGTGCACACATTAGCATATACATGGTACTTTTACTCTACAGCCTTGATGACCTTTTACAAATGTCAGATCGTTTTAGATTGTTTTATTCACCATCTTTTGTATTAGTTACATTCCTTTTATTATACGCTGTATTAGTAAAACAGGGAATAGTGTAGTATTTGACACCTTTCCATATTTCCGTGTACTGCAGGTCCAATAAAGTGCATCAGTGAGGGAACGTGTTGGTTAACCCTTGAACAGGAACACAAATATTAAAATGTGTTTGTTGTTTGTGGTTTAGGGGTTGAAGGAGAAGGAGGTCGGAGGAAAACCTCTCTTTGGTTCTGTCATCAAGAGCATCAACACCTCCTGCCAGGTACACGCCGCGCGCCTCTGCTGACCTCTCGGGCTACTTTGACCTCCCGTACTTTGCACATTCCTCTCCTCGTTATTGTGACGTTCGCGTTGACTCTGCTGAACTGTCACCCACAGAGAAAAGTGCTCGTGATGAACGCCACCCTCAACGTCTACAGCAAGATCTTCTCCACCGTCCTGCAGACCGAGCAGCACGGTCGGGCCGGGGTCCATCTGCTGGACAAGCTGAAGTCCGAGCTGGAGCGGAAGAAAGTGAGGTCGGCCTTGGAGTCCCTGAAGCAGGAGATGGAGGAGCAGAGCAGGCACCTGGGCCAGCTGAACCTCGACAGGGAGGACGTGCTCAGCAAGCTGGGGGACATAAAGGTGGGTGTCGGTCAGACCTTCCTGGTAGAAGACTGTGCAGCAGATATAAACACGTTTGCAGCCTTTGTACAACAACAGAATATTTATATTTACAGATTATACCAAGTTCTGCGTAATTGAGGGCTTGGCCACTCTAGTAGTGATCTGAAGCGTTTAAATGCTTAATACTTTTACATGTATATATATACATATATATATATATATATATATATATATACAAACAAACGAAAATCACAAAATTATGATCACAATTCTACATTATTTACAATTAATGGAATCTTTAATGGACTGTGTCTCCTTGCAGGTGGAAGACACCTTGGATCAGAGAAAGGCTCTGGCGGAGTTTAAAGAGGTCTACCAGGCGATCGATGTGAGCTACCCCAAATGTAGACACGCCCACTCCTCCTCTGCCCAATGACATCACAGTTATCAACAGCTGTGACTCAGACTAGCCTCTCATTAGCATAATCTAATGCTTTTTTGTGTTTATTTTTAGATGTCATTTTGGTTTCATTCTATTACACTTTTACTTTTACAGTTTCACATATTTATTTAGTTATTTAAAGTTTTGTGTTACTTCAGGTCAGATCTCAATCGAGTCACTTCACTCATTCACTCAGTCGTATTTATTTCGTAATGATTTAATGTATTTTTCTATAAACAATTAATTTAAATTAAGTTATTTTATTGTTGTGATTTTAAACGTTTCGTCAAGATTGTTTGAATAAAAACAGAAATCGGCACCAACTAAAAGCTTCATTTTCCATTTTCTACACTTTAACATTCTTTATTTCTTATTTTTTAAATGTAACAAAAAAGGCTTTAACACGGGATTATTACTTCTCTGGTGTTTTCATCCATTTCCCAAAAATCACCGTACTTCATAATGTTACAAACTTTACACCTCTAGTGATGAAGATGAGGACGACGATGGTGATGAAGATGATTTTATTGCCAAAGAGCAAGTCTCATCTGCATTAAATTGAATCATAATTTAAATACTTGGAATGTTAACAATATTATTAGAACTATGAGGTAACACGAAATGAATACAAGTAGAATACAAGTATCTCAAAGTACTAAACTACTTCACTCTAGTAAAAGTCACCAAGATTAGAACTAACTTTTAAAGAGAGAAGGAAAGAAAAATACATACGGAAGAAAGAAATAAATAAAGAAAAAGAAAAGAAAGGAAAAAATGCAGAAACTGCAAGCAAACGGTGACATCAGAGTGACATCAGAGTGACATCAGAGTGACATCAGAGTGACATCACTGCGTCGCCGGCTCCTGCACCAATCACACGGGGGGACGTCACAGACTCGTGTCCTGTGACTCCACGAGTCATTTCACACATGTACAACTGTTTTCACTGAATATCTCCTCTGTGTTCCAGAATTATAATAATAAAACAATATGTATAAAGGACGAGTAATAAAATAAAAAAGAGAGAACACGAAATATTTTGTTCTCTTGTCTTTTTGTATTTGAATCAGTTTTTTTCTGAGATCTTTTTGAATCTTTTATTTCGGTCTCCATTAATTCATTGATTTGTGTTTGTGAGGCGGGGGGGGGGGGGTCCCTCCCACACAAGCAGAAGACGGGGCTTTTCTCACCTGAGGGAAACGGTGACGTGGAAACCAGAAGAGAAAAGAGAGTTCTGAAGAACTGAGTCATCGGTTTGGAGCGAGACGCATGTTTGTGCCTCCGATCATCGGTTTCACAGAGGCCCAGAAACGGGCTCAGGACTCACAGCATCTCCCAGAGACCAGGATGTGGTCCTGAGCAGGAGGCAACGGGCCGTCCTGAGAGCGAAGCCAAAGCTTCACGGGTTAAAACCGCATCGCTAAACATTTCATTTAAAACCTTGTGTTTGTTATTTGACCTCTGACATTAATAGAAAATAAACATGGGGTTAAATAAGTTTTTAAATGACAAAAAACAAAACAAAACAAAGTTTTCTTTGTTTAGTCAACCGCTGATGAGCACGAATCAAACGCACCTAACAATGATTTATGCTCCGTGACGCTAATTTAATGATTCAGAAACCTTTGGGACGTGTTTCACTGGGAGAACCCGATGGTTGTCTGCTTCACCCTGAGAGTAAAGGTCATATCTTTAGAACGAATGCGCAGCGGACCCTCAGAGCCAGAGGACGAACTCAGCAGAGCCAAATCAGTAACGTTCACATGGATATTTGAAATGAAACCGCTGTAAATCCCCTCAAAACAGAAACAAAAACCCACTTGTGAAACCTCGCAAGTGTGTGTGTGTGTGTGTGTGTGTGTGCGTGTGTGTGTGTGTGTTACCCACGTAATGACCGTGCATCCCCACACCTGAGCGCTGACACCAGCATCTCACCTGCTGAGCTCGACAATAAAAATGTCCTTTTTTAAGCTGAAAAAAGTGAAATAAAAACAAGCAGAGGCTCAGAAGGAGTTTAATGTGTTGGGTAGTATTCAACCTTTACTGAAGAAGTATTCAGACACTTTACTGCTGTCAAAGTACTAATAGCACTTTGAGAAGGTACAGACGAGTTGGACACTTGTGAACTAAACGGTCCATTTAGGGTCAAACAGACCATGAAGCCGAGGAGGCTTTACGTTCATCTGCTGTTTGGCTCAAATAAATTGTTTTTTCACTTTGTTAACACAACTTAATTGTTGATCTTCTAAAATTGCTCTCGTGTCCACTCCAGTTGCCAAAATAATATACATAAGTATATATATATATATATATTTATTTTGTCTTGTGACGTCTTCTGTGCGAAGTCCCTCGGACACTCGTCTGGTTTCTCTCTCTTCTTGCAGAGCGTGAGCTGCTCTCACTGCTCCTGCTGTTCCTTTCCTTTGGTTTCCAAATAATTATCTCACCGTCTGTGTGTGTTTGTATATTTATATAAATAGTGTAGCTGACAAGAAAAACCTCATTCGGTTTCCTTTAAACTCTTCTGGGCATTACAGACACTTCACACCCAGCCGGGGTGTCAGCGTCATGACATCATTTCCTGTCATCATCTGGCCCTTCAGCCGCTGCTGTTCCTTCATTCACACCATTGAGTTTCAATGGATCCAGAAGATTCAGTTCCCTCTTAAAGATGTGCTGTCATTGGTAGATATTTAGGAAGCGGTCAGTGGTCCTAACAGAGCGTATTGTTCATTGTGTCCGTCCCGGGAGACGAGTCCTCCTCTGCGTTCTCCCCCTTCCTCCCCATCGGAGGGGGTGATTTACCCCCTGGTCGTCACTCATTACATCGTTACACTCCTTTTATGTCCTTATTATTTAATGCATCTTTTACTGGTTTTCTGTGGTTCGGTCGGTTTGATCATCGTCCTGCAGCCAGACGCCCCCCACATGTTCATGTCTGTGACCTCAGATAAGAACGAAGGGTCCGTGGCGCTTCCCGCCGGACGCCGTCGCTTCCACTCAAACGTCCACTGGGCTGCAGGGCCGAGCGCCGGCGCTCCCAGTGGGACCAGTGAGACCAGTGAGACCAGTGAGAGGCCCGTGTGCGTCTGTGCGGGGAGCCAGCGCTCGCTGTGCGCGGGTGGGAGACCCCTCACACACTTCTATGAACTTTGTTGATTTAAAGGAAACTGCACAACCACATTTCACACCTTGCGCTGCATCACCCGCTCTCTCTCCCCCCCCACGTCTCTCCTGAGTTATAAATGAAAGGTTTCACATGAAGTCAAACAGTTCCACACGACTTCAGAGCAAAGAGTCACTCGACCCTGGAGACAAAAGACACCGGGTCATTTATGCTCCTCAACCAGAGGATTGGAACGCAGAAAAAGGCCGTGTAGAAGCTCAGGGATCGAAGCGGCGAGCGGCGGCTGTCACCCTACAAGCGCTGATTAAGATGGTTGCCACGGTGAGAGCGGTGGTCAGCGTGTCCCTCTGGCTGATTGTGTCCCAGGTCCAAGGTGCCTACGTCCCCCCAAAGATGAACAAGACCATCCACAACCTCCTGCGGCACTATGTGAGTACTGCAACATAAACTTGTTCTTCGGTTTACTCAAAGTACGTTTAAAGAGCGGTTGTGATTGAATTGAATGTGCCCTTCAGGAACAGGGAAGTACGCTTCCTTGATGGTGCATTCAAGGACAATCCGGCTTCAAAGGGTTTAACAGAAGGATAACTTTTGAGTTCAGGAAACCACGTGTTCACGCTGTATTTTGGTCTTCTTGCTTTGCAACAGATGGCAGACATATTTCAGATGTCAGAGTGTCCTTGAATGCACCACGAAGACAGGTTTAATGCACTCCAGTGTAAAACATTTTAAAATTGACAACCAAGAGCAAAACAGTGAAACTAAAATGATATAATAACATGGTTGGTTTTTGTTCCTCGTTTGCTTTTGATGAATATTTTAGAAGCACTTCTTAAAAAAACCTCTGAAATTATATATCAGACTGTCCTTGAACTCACCGTAAGAAGCTTTTCACAGTAATGTTCATAGTTTTATTATTGAATGCGCTTTGCCACAGACGCCTCTAACCAGTGCACTGTTCTATGGTCCCTGAATGCACCATCACAATGATTGATATTTATTCTTCTTCCTTTTGCAGAAGATTTCACAGAGAGAGCTATTTAACGGGAAGCCAGTGTTCTCCAAAGACCCACTGCCTGGTGAAATGGGGGTAAATAACAACTTGTTTACATCCACATGTGGGAGCATAAAGTCTGGATGTGTCCCGCAGGCGGTCGCGGGAACGTCAACTGAACTGTGACCTTTAAAACAGCAGCTCATCGACGTGGTCGGTTGCTGTTTTTTGTTCGTTCTTTGGACGGAGCCATGCTAGCGGTTTGCCTGAGCTTCCAGTCTTCATGCTAAGCTAACAGTCTCCACGCACACACATCGAGACAGATCTCACAGACGTTGCTTCCCTAACCTTTGACCCCTGCACCTTCTCCTGTCGGCCCTCCTCATTATTATTGGCGGCGTCAGCAGCCTCATGATGTCACGATCGAACACCGAACAGTTTCTTTATCGCGCCGCTGAGGTTCCTGTGGGTTTTTTCGCTTCCTGGTCGCTCCGCACGGTGCAGCGCTCCGCGCTCGGCTGATCTCAGGCTCAGAAAGAGACTTTCACTCTTCGCCGCCGATGATGAAAAGCATCTCTGAGTCTGCAGCGGTCGTGTGGTTGCTGACATGAGATCTAGATTAAGTGGAGGCTTTGCTAGCCGGCTGTAAATGAACCTGTGAGTACATAGACATCACATGTCGCTCGGAAGGTTTTCAACTGGACCTGAACCCGGTTTGTCTTTTGGAGGCCTCCCACCCAGCGGCGCTCTGGGTTTACCCTCCCCACGACGACGCAGGCTGGAAGCCTTTTGCATCCTGATGAGTGATGTGGGAGTCTGATACGAATGATTCAGATTCAGTGAGTGGCATTTCCCTTCAAGCCCACAATGCACCTCATTTAGCCCCAGCGTGGGAAACCACACAGCTTCTCTCCACCGTGTGAGAAGGTCTTCACAGGTTAGTCAGGCCACAGAACCCCCACCTTCAGGGTTTAAAAGATCCTCACAGAAAAATAGCTAATGAACTACGTTTAAATCCGTTGTTGTTTGACACCATCTGTTGTTGTGTAGGACGACGTCCTTCCTAAACACTTCCTAGGGTTATTTTGTTGAGACATGTTGTCCACAAAGACACATTGCAAATGATGACTCATCAGTGAAGTTGAAATAAAAGCGATGTGAAGACCAACGACCTGTTTTCTGGTTTCTCTCTTTTAGGCAAAACAGGTGTTTGTGGGCGCCGTTCTGGAGACGTACGACCAGCTGCTTGGCCAGATGCTGAAGCAGCTTCCCACGCCGGCTCCCAAGACGGACGAGAGCAACGCGCTTCCTGCCTCCGTTGCCCCCGGAGACAACGTCAGGACGGAGCTCACCTACATCCTGAAGAAGGTCCAGGAGCTGAGGAAGCACCGCTACCAGGAGCAGGAGAAGCTTCTGCTGCAACTGAGGGCTCTCAAACACATCCAGGTAGAGTGAGCAATGCTCATGTAGACTACAAAGGCTTACTGGAGGTCTATGTGGACTACAAAGACTTACTGAAGGTCTATGTGGACTACAAAGGCTTACTGAAGGTTTATGTGGACTACAAAGACTTACTGAAGGTCTATGTGGACTACAAAGGCTTACTGAAGGTCTATGTGGACTACAAAGGCTTACTGGAGGTCTATGTGGACTACAAAGACTTACTGAAGGTCTATGTGGACTACAAAGGCTTACTGAAGGTTTATGTGGACTACAAAGACTTACTGAAGGTCTATGTGGACTACAAAGGCTCACTGAAGGTCTATGTGGACCACAAAGGAATGACGCCTTTGGAAGTTCAATCCAGAGTTTACAAATGCGAGATGATGATGAACTTTGTTTCAGACCCGGTGGATGAAATAATTGAAGTTAACGGTCTCTCCTTATGTCTCCGCCCCCTGCAGATGGACAACCTTGTTGTCCAGAGCAAAGCATTGTGGGAGCTGCCGCGGCTGTACGAGGAGGCGAGCTCGTTGGGCGACATCGAGAGGAGGAGGAGGCGACGGCAAGCCAAGAGGCTCAAAACCCGTCAGAGAGCCTGAAGCAGCAGATATCAACCAGGACGTTTAATGACTAATTCAAAATGGATCAAATAGTGAGGGACGTTAGGAAAACCAAATATATATTAAATCTGAAGTTTCAAATGTGTTCCTGTATTAAGAGGTTTCTTAAGAACGTATTTATCACTAGGTATATATTTATTACAGTGACAATAAGCCTAATACTTGTTGTTGTTGTTGTTGTAGTTTGAAGCGCGTCGGTTTAATCCTGTGAAATATTCATGAAACCTAATTAATTGTTTTCAACTTAATCAACAAAATCAATCAACTATCACACAGAAGTACTTTCTCCTCATGTTTTACTGAACAAACTTCTAATAGAATCATGGTTTATTTAATTGTTAGTGGTACAAAGTACACAAGTACTAAATACTAACAAGCTTGTACTGCGAGTGAATGTTCAGGTGAAGTACTGAACTGAAGGTACCTGCTGTAGTAGATCTACTACCCTCTGCAGGGATATCTGTATCTTACTGACAGGTTTTCTATATTTATTTTGTATTTAATGTATCTATTTAATAATCATACTGCTGTAGTGTTGATTATTTATTGATTGTATTTATTGATTGGCACATGCAGACGGATGCACACCGAATAAAACTGAACGAACGTCACCTTCTGCTTCCGTGGTGATTCTCAACCATCAGAAGACCTTCAAACGTTCCCGACCTGCTGCTTGCTTTCCCGGGACTTATCATTTTTAAAATCTTTAATGTGAAATATTGGAGAGTTTTTCCTCTTCAAGCCTCCAGCTGAATATAAAGAGTCGGGCTTCTCATAATAATTGATATTTTTAGGTTTATTGTAAAGTGAACTATAGCTGTGGAGTAGAAATACTGAAGTCAATGTTAAACAATGACAAATGTACAATATTAGAATATAAATTTAATTAAAAATCCACAATAAATTAACATGTTTTTATTGAGAAGCACTTTCAAAAGGTTATTATTGATAATAATCAATAACAGTGTTAATATATATATATATATATATATATATATATATATATTAACACATTAGCATAAAGGCAGCGTTAACACGCTCGTTTCTCCTGCAGCAGCTTCTGCAACAAGTTGACTCACACTGAAACCTCCACACAAACAAAAGGTGTGTGTGTGTGTGTGTGTGTGTGTGTGTGTGTGTGTGTGTGTGTGTGTGTGTGTCGGAGCTCTCTCTTGCTCTTTGCTCGATCCTCTTCTGGTACTTTCTTCTTCTGCTCGGTCTCTGAGGGAAATAAGGGGCTTTTCGCTACGTGTCCTGTCTCCTTCCTGTTGTCTCCTTTGTTTGTTGTTTACTGACGGACAGCTGGACTCAAAGTACTTTTACATTACATTACTTCACTGATAAACACTTGAATTGAACATTTGGTGCGTCTGAGGAGGCCGAGCTCCTCTCAGCACGGCTCTGCAGGCTGGGGAAGCACAGCCACCGCGGTGCATTGTGGGTAAAAGGCGGCCGCGCAGTTACAGTAATGAAACCACCTGCTATTTACCAGCAGTGATGTCACAGGAAGTGACGTCACAGCAGGGGGTTGGATTCCTGCAGCAATCCCCCGACTGCTTGTTTGTAGTCAATAATGAATCAGTTATCTAATTATTATGCATCTCTCATCATATTTATATCTATATTTAGTTCAGTTTGGTGCTTCTTTACTTGCAGGTTCAACCTTTAAAGACAATTAAGTTGATAATAATATGAATATTACAAAATCATCAGAAAATGAATTAATGGAACAACAATGAACCATCAGTTAAAGATTAAATTAATTCTTAAGAGGAGATTATTATTATTGTTATTTACAATTTGTCTTTGAGGTGAAAGGACTGAAAATGATGAAGTACATATATTTTAGATCTTATTTTTTTTTCAAACAAATGGAATTTATTGTGTGTTGTTCACCAAACTGAAATGTTTTAATAGGTTTGATGTTTGTGGAGAATCGATGTGATGTTGGACGTGTTTCATGAGGAAAAGGTTTTTCCTCAAGCGTTTTAAAGGTTCCGTGGAGATGCTGACTCTAGTGTCATGACACACAGACACACACACACACACACACACACACACACAGACAGAGATGCACTGTGGCATTTCCATGAAGGTCTGCGTCGTTTCCTGTTGCAGAGGAAGCTCTGAGCGGGTTCACGGCCACAAAGGCACCAGAAACAAAAGAGAAGAAGACTCCACACTCAAATGTACCTGTGTTCATCAAGAAAGGTTCATAGTTTAAAAAGAGAGTATTTCTCAGTACTATTCCTTGGAGATAAATATTAGAGATTTTCGTGGAATAAAATGCAATAAATACAGTTTTTTTCGCTAACAAACATTGTTCAATACTCAAACCACATTTCCAAAACTCTTCACACATTCATCCGACACAAACAGCAAACTACTGTGTATCTGCAGGATATTTTTCATAACACAAAGGGGAGGAAGACCAAGAGCGCTGATGTCTGATGACATAAATGTTGTGAACACGGCCGGAGGCTGCAGACACATCTGCATCGCTCAGCAGCTGCTTCAATAGTTCAAGTTTTCTGGCAAAACAACAGGCGACGTGATCCATGTTACAGAACATGTTACAGAACATGTAACAGAACATGTTACAGAACATAACAGAACGGTGATTGTTGTGTTTTAGGATCCAAAGGTGAGGAGGGAGAGGCTGAAGTCCATCCCAGCCAACTTCGGGCGATAGACAGGGTTCATCCTGGATTGGTCGCCAGCCAATCGCAGGGCAACACAGAGACACACAACCATTCACACTCACATTCACACATCTACGGGCAATTTAAAGTCCCCAATTAACCTGATCCCCAGAGCATGTCTTTGGACTGTGGGAGGAAGCCGGAGAACCCGGAGAGAACCCACGCAGACACAGGGAGAACATGCAGACTCCACACAGAAAGGCCACTGGGCGGAATCGAACCCAGGACCTTCTTGCTGTGAGGCGACAGTGCTAACCACCACGCCACCGTGCCGCCCGCTGGCACAATATTCATACAGAAAATATCTTGTTTTCACAAGGAACACACTGCCAATCAAATGTGCACTCTGACTCATCACACGGGCAGACAGCCGTCACACCGTTTTACAATCAGCGATCTGAGCTTCAGCATAAAAGGGCAGGTGAGCTCTTCAGGCTCAGGAGAGGGAGAGGACGAGGACGAGGACGAGGACGAGGACGAGGACGAGGAGCGTAATCTCTGATGAGAGCCGAGCCACTGTGGTTGGTCATGTGGTCAACAACGCCCTCATTGGCTGGCAAAGAGTACAGCCTCATGTGAGCAGGTACACGGTGGCATCCATCATCCGGTAAGAAAGTATTTTACAATTTGTTTGGCAGAACTGAAGATTACCAACACAAGGTGGTCGGGGACGTGTTCTGTCTCCTGAAATCATGAACATGGTCCTAGAAAACAACGGCATAACGTTACAGCAAATACAAGGAAACCTGATAGAAAACAACGACATATTTCTAAATGTTGATAAGTAGGTGAGCTTATGAACACTGGACCGTGTCTCAGGATGAAGCAGGTCTACAGGGTTCCATTTCAACGCAATTCAGAAAGAGTCAAAGAACTGAGATATACAGTAAATATGTGCAAGTGAGTCCCACAATTGATGCTCTCAACATGCAGCATAGTTGTTGTTTTTTACTGTAACTGTACAGTAAATACTGTTGTTTGGTATGTGCAGTTTTGTGCTTCTTCGTAATGGGATGTACACTGTATACATTGTATTATACATACATTGTATAATATATTTGTTACCGTGTATTTGTGTGTTCTGAGTATAAAAACAATATTCTCATATATTTTCCAACACACTTATGTGTGTACTGTCTGTAGGACGTGTAACGCTGAACAATAAAAGGCCTCAGTCATGATGATGAATGGAGAAGAAGTGTTTTCCATCAATGTTCCACTGGTTCTTATGAACGTCTGTTCATGTGATGCTTTGTGTTTGTCATGTGAAAACCAAATACCATTTTGAGAAGAAATAACATTGTTTTGAATGTAAAGTTTCCTTTTGCAGGAGAATTGAGCGGTTTGGCCCATTGTGTGCTGTAGAGTTCTGAGAACATGAGGCATTCTTTCAGAAAACCTGTCCGTCTGAGACGAGTTATGCTGCAGTTCCTTTAATGGCTTCTAGTAACGAAGTGAGTGGAATAGAAAATACGTATTTTAAACTGCAGTAAGATGTTGTATTTAGAGAATGTTGATGTTTACAAAGCTCATAGACTGTCGGAGCATCAGGGGTCAAAACTGATCATGTTCAAAAGGCTCCCGACTGTTCAAAGCATATTACAAGATACGTCTAATGAGCCGAGGTCATAACAACTTTATTACAATACTGTGAAGCTCTCTGCTGACATCAGGAGGACAAACTATGGAACTACACGCAGATCAATACGTTACGCGTCATTTCTCTGACGCTTTCATCCAAAGCGACTTACTTTATATTTTTAACCCATGGCTTTTTTACATTTTGCCCACTACTTGCTCCTTTCCACAGGTTGTACTACTTTAACTGTGGTATTCAAGTACTTCCCAGGAAGAAAACACTGTTCTTAGGAGAATAACTTTCATGTTACTTCAGTAAAAGTACGGGAACATGTTAAAGACTGTGACTGTTACTGCAATTATTTATGAATGAACTCATGTGAGATGTGATGAAGTATAAAGTAGCATGACATTAAAGTACTTAGAGAAAGTACATCCAATTTGTTCTAGAGTGAATGTACTTTGTTACCACTGACTCCTTTGAGCCTGTATGTAGAAATTCAAGTGAAAGAAAAATCTATCTTCTAACAAAATTTATTTATTACTATAACTACAGTAATGATAATAATTACAATAATACTATAATTAATTATAATAATGATTATTATTAAGAAAAAAGCATAACAATGATAATAATGATAGTTATAATAGTAGAAATAATGATCCAACTGTGTGTGATGACAGCTTCTAACCACTAGGGAGCAGCAGATCCTGAAGAATCAGAAACATTTATCACCAGAATATGTTGTAATTTACATCCATGGAATTTAACTTGGTGGTTGCCTCTAAGACAATGGACAACGAGACAGATAAGACAACATAGTGCAAGAACCATAAAGGTACAATACACGTGGCAGTGACATGTTTACCGTAAACTCCAGACCAGAAGCCGCCACTTTCTCCCCACGCTTTGAACCCTGCAGCGTATACAACGATGTGGCTAATGGATCATGTTTTACCGGCTAAAGGTCGCCGCGTGTTTCTGCGTCTTTACGTGTCGACGCACTGGTTTCACTTCCTGGTTGTAAAGTCCTGCGTGTGTTGCAGAGCGATTCACCTCCAGAACAACAGGTGGAGTCACGTGTTTTGTTGAAGACGACCTGGAGAGTCACGTCTTTGTGTGTGGAAGTCGCTGGTTGCTTTATTTATTGACCATAGACTTTATTGCCCCGTGCATCCACACTGCTGCTTTTCATCACGGACACATTTGTCCCGTATTTTCCTCCACGACTTTGTTCCCCTCGTTGGTGGAGATCTGCCTCCATGAATCAGAGGCCATCCGGCGTCCTCATAGTCCGCCAATGACGGCTTGTACAAGCGCTCATATTTACAAGCTCTTCAATCTGATCCGTTCTCTCGTAAACGTTCTTCCTTTTAATAACGGCCGTATTGTGCTGTGAAAACGGAGACGTGAGACTCTAAAGGACGTAGTCAGCAGACCAATCACAGCCTGGTGCTACAGGAGGCTGCGTCGCTTTAGACGCTAGTCTAGAAAAATGGGTCGACGCACACAAGGAGGTGTGAAAAGACACGCAAGGGACACGCAAGGGACACGCAAGGGACACGCAAGGGACACGCCATGAATGACGGTTAGAACGTTCGGTCACAACGATGTTGTTTCGCATCATCGTGCTTTTGTTGGTGGGTATACGGGAATGCTTGACTTTTCCTAGTGGGTGTACGGCGTATACCTGCGTATCACGTAGACTACACCACTGGCGGCCCATAAACTTGCCATTAATGTCAGCTGTCATCAATGGTGAGACGTTGGAGACGGCAATGTGAAGAACTGGACGACTCTGCGTCAGCAATGGTTTTTCTGCGGCTTATATTCAGGTGCCCTCAATCGTCTGGAATTTACGGTATGTGCATGTGCAGTGTGAGGGGGAGTGACCGGTGGAGTGTTATAGTCAGTCAGTGGGGGACCGGCTCTGTTGATGAGCCCGACTGCCGACGGGAAGAAGCTGTTGGTGTGGCAGGAGGTCTTAGTCCTGATGGACCTCAGCCTCCTGCCAGATGGAAGGGGCACAAACAGGTTTTGTCCGGGGTGAGAGGCGTCGGCTACCATCTTTTTAGCTGCTTCAGAGACCTGGAAGCGAACAAGTCCTGCAGGGACGGCAGATTGCAGCCAATCACCCTCTCTGCAGAGCGGATGACACGCTGCAGCCTGCCCTTGTCCTTGGCTGTGGCTGCAGCGCACCAGACGGTGATGGAGGAGCAGAGGATGGACTCCATGATGGCCGTGTAGAAGTGGACCATCATCGTCTTTGGCAGGTTGAAGTTCTTCAGCTGCCTCAGGAAGAACAACCTCTGCTGAGCCTTCTTGGTGATGGAGCTGATGTTCAGCTCCCACTTGAGGTCCTGGGATGATGGAGCCCAGGAAACGGAAGGAGTCCACAGTGGTGACGGGGGAGTCACACAGGGTGATGGGGGAGGCCTTGAAGCAGGCTGGTACGTGGTCTCCAGGGGGATGTTGAAGATGTCAGTGAACACCGGAGACAGCTGGTCACTGTAGCTACAGTCTGATTGAATCAACGTAGTAAAGACACCGTACCGAGTCAACACAGAGAGACAGAGAGAGACGCTGGAAATAAACTGACCTCTGGGTTGACAAATCTGACACCTTGCAAACACACAAACAGACAGACATATACAGTACACACACACACACACACACACACACACACATAGTTTTCCATTGGTCCTGACCTCAGAGACCCTGGAGCAGATCAGTGAGCGCTTGCTTGAGTTCATCTGAACAGAGAGACAGTTTCTATAACTGGTTCCATTTTGTTCAGGTTCCAGAAGCTTGAACATTCGACCCGAACAAAGAACTTTTACTTACTATGACAGTTTAAAGTAGTTTGAGTTATTGATGCATTACATTTTTTTAATTGCTAACAAGCATTGTTCGATACTAAAACCACACTTTTAGCCGAGAAATTGTTATATTGGAATTAAGTTGCTGAACCATAATATTCAGAAATATTCAGTCTGAAAACACGTGCTGCATGATGAGAACTTCTACCTTTGATATTTTGATAACACTTATAGTATTATCAGAGTATTTATACATGAGTTTTTTTTTTTTGAGTACTATATATATAAAACTATTTTACAACATTCTGGTTCATGAATCCTGAATTGCATTAAATACAATAAAAATCAAAGGTTTACACCTGCAACGCTAGTGGAGCCGGTTTAACATTTCGACAGTAAGTGGATATTAATTTGGACCCATAATCCCTTGCAGCAAGTCACACACTATCAGGTTACTGGTGTGTGTGTGTGTGTGTGTGTGTGTGTGCTCCTGCTGAGCTACATCCTGATTTAAATAGAAACACACACATCAGAGCTGCAGCTTCAGATTAACCTCCACAGAGAGACGTCTCTCCTTCAGTCAGGTGGACCGTTGCCACGGCAACCGAATGCTTTGGACATCCTCATATTTTCTGGACATTTTGGGCCATAAGTTTTATGCCTAAATGTTTTACACTTTACTCAGCGTTCCATACGTGAAGTAAAGTTCCAGCTTCTGCACAATAGTACGAATGCTGCTATATATATTATAATTACTGTTATTAATAATTTTAAGTAAAATATTTTTTATTTACTGTCATTCTTATACTTCTCCCTATTATACAACTAATTAAATAGGAACAATTAAATGCAATGGTTTTCATTTCTTTACAATGCATTAAATGATGTGTGCTCTTTCTGTGATGGATGGACATGAACGATCCAGCTGTGCACCTTATTCTAATATAATGTATTTGTGTGAAACTTTGTTATTAACCTCTGTTAGCAGAACCACAGGTGAGTCAGCAGGTGTTTATGACAGCCTCCCAGTGTTAATTCATTTATTTACTCTGGTGATTGATACTTTCTCAGTGGCGGCAGTGGTGATGTTTAGAAGTGTGCTTGTATTAATACTTCTACATTGTCAGTGTATTAAACCAGTACAAGTAGTGCTGTTGAAGACTCAAAATCCTTCAACAAAAAATAATTAAATAAGCTCTTAGTACCGGCTTTCTATGAATAACCAGCTGTCAATCAACCACACCCTACAGGACTGCTGCATTGTGGGTAAAGCCCTTGAGCCAGGCTGCGGCGGCTGCTCTAGGCTGATAGCATCTTAGCTTGACGCTAGCTTCTATTATTAGCAGCCATGTCCATCCCGCTAATCCCCGCCTCCTGCTAATAAGGAGCACAGCTGCTCCAATCACATGGCTGCTCCTCATTACCACGACAAACTAATTATCTTGTCAATTACAGGCGAGAATCCGCCTGCGACACATTCAAGCTTTAACCAGAACCAAAATGTTAACCTTATCAAACTGCGATATTTGGGGTTTTCTATTTTTTTAATAAATTATGTTTTGGACTCTTCCTTCCTGAGTGTACAGTGTGTGTGTTGGATTTCAGTGTCTTCTGCCATGTGCGTTAATCTAAACACAGCTACTTGGAATTACTTATCGCCGGTTGTCGTGACAAGGTGCTTTGCAACGGTTCCTGAGCCGTGACGTCAAATCATCGTCCTTCTCCAAACACTGCATTTAGCATCTCTGAGTCAGCCTCCTGGGACGTCATGGTAACCACCTTCTAATCACAGGACTTCCATCCGGAATTAATTTGCAAGGATTATAATACTTTTACTTTTCATACTCAGTATCTGAGCATTTTTTAATTCTAAAACCGTAAAACAGGATCACATCAAAATTGAGATAAAAAATGTAATGGATTTAGATCAAATGAAAAAGTAAAAGAATTCCAAACTTGTGCTTTGTGTGTTTATTCTCAGCGCAGACTCTTTGGAAGAACAATACGTGAAGATGAACAACTAAAATATTTTATTAATAATAATAATTTTCCACCACAATAAAATTGAACCAAGACTCACTAGAAAAGTGTTGAGTTCTGTACAGTAGATACAGTACAAAACTGGTTGCGCGCAGCGTGGCACAGCAGCGCAACCCCCCTCTCGCAAAAAAACATATTATTTAAACATTTATTCCACATATTTACAAATAAAGTCCACAATAAAACCTGGCTGGCAAACATCACAGTAATACAGTGAACCCTAACCCTTCCGCAAGAAACTAAAAAATGGCTAGCATGGTAATGAGCTGGTAGGCTAGTTAGGCTACCATGCTAGCATGGCAATAAAAAGTGGCATATTAATTAGACTACCTGGCTAGCACGGTAACAAGCTGGCAGACCAATTCGGCAACCTGGCTAGCATGGTAATAAGCTGGCAGAATAATTAGGCTATTTAGCTAGCATGGTAACAAGCTGGCAGACTATTAAGACTACCTGGCTAACATGATAACAAGCTCGCAGAATTATTGGGCTATTATGCTTGCATGGTAACACGCTAGCAAGCTAGTTAGGCTACAGGTCTCTGAATGCTACCAAGAGGTCAGTTAAACCAGACTTTATAATTCTGTGAGACTGTTATAATAGAACTTTTTTGAAAACATAACGCTATCGCGCATTCTCCTTGTGTACTTGTTGTGCAGATGTTAGCTTCTCTTGTTGCACTTTGTTCACTTGCCTTCTCCTTTCTGTCTTACTTCCTGACCCATCTGTCTGTTTGAGCGGCTAGCTCTCAGCTAGCTTTGTCAAACCAAATGCCCTTGGTGTTAGTCACAACGATGACAACAGGAATAATCATAAAAACATTAACTGAGAAGTCTGAGGTACCAACATTACAAAAAAAAAAAGAAGTAGGGACGCATCGATTGCCCGAGCGAATGAAACGTGTTTAAATATAAAAGTGCAAATGTTGGCAGTGTATCACACTCTGCGACGACATGGTGAAAATCGTCCCTGTTTATATTCATTATCGCTTTCACATTTAACTACATTTGTTTTAAACAAAAAGGGTGTTTTTGTTGGGGTTTTGTTAGAACTAAATCATTGTTGTCATGAATAGTTGCGTAGACAATAAAAAGAAGGTTGTATAAGTGATTGAATTTGTGCTCACTCAAAAATAGTGTTTTTTAAAACTTTTTAATAACAATTTCTTTCCCCTGACACAATTTGGGGAAAAATAAACAACAAAAACATCGGCATCGGCACAGAACTTTACAATCGGTGCGTCCCTGCTTTTAAAAAACATTTAATGCTAAAAGCTAACAGGGATGAACTCGTAACGTGCTACTAGCGGTTGGTTAGCAGTAAGCTAGGGTTTGCTTCACTGTAGAGAAAACAAAGGTCAGTGCAGCAGCTAGCGGCTGGACGCTAGCGGTGATTCGGCTAGTGTTAGCTTGGCCCTGCCGTCAGCAGGGGTTGTCGCCAGTCCGTCTCCGAGGCGACAGGCGGCTGATATGTGTCTGTACATTGTGCAGCCATGTTTCACCCCCACTCCCCAACACACACATACGCACTTTATGTCAGTGTTAACCAGATTAAAGCTACATACACGGTTTGTGCGTAGGCCTGCTCTGCTGGTTCTGTAAACAGTATGGAAGCAAATTTCGACCGGAAAAAGCAGATTGTTATAGAGGAAAATACATTTTTTGGGAAAATAAGTATTTTGACTCCCTAAGATGTCATGCCTTTCCTTAAGTCAATAATAAGCTATAAAATATAGTGGATCACGTTTTGATTTAGAAGTCAAATCTAGAAAATAATATTAATAATAATAATATTTTTAACATATTTTACTGACGAGGGCTAAATTTCAACTTTAATGTAAATATTTGTTCAATGTGTGTGTTTAGCGTTATAGAGGTTACAGCAGGGCGGCCCAATAGGTCGGTCAGTATGGAGCGTTGTTGTTCAGGCGAAAGGACCAAGGCGGGCGGGTCGTAATTGGGCGAACGGACCGGGACCGGCCAGCGGGGGGGCGAGACCGCCGGGACTTGGTCGATTGAAAAGTAACTCCCCTGGCCTACAGCCTAGTCATAATTATAACATTATTTCTATCCCTCACATTTCTTCATCTGGAGGGTCTGCTTCAATACAAATTACCTTTACGCTGCATTCAAGACAGGCCATTTAAAAAAAATTATATTATATCAACACAACCCTTAGATCCTTAGATAACTTTAATAATTGTTAATAGTTATTTCTCTGAAATTCCTCATCTATTTATTTTTATTTGTTTGTATTTGATTGTTTAAAACCAAACCGGAGTCAGTGGCATTTTTTACCATTATATTTTAGATTTAAAATCATCCATTACTTCATGGTTGAGTTTGTATCCTTGTGCTTGAGATGCTTATTGTAAGTCGCTTTAGATAAAAGTGTCAGCTAAATGACATGTAATGTAATGGTCACACTTCTCTCTGGGGTTGTGTTATTTTTGTATGAGGTCAGAGGTCGCGAGCGGTTCACATGGTATCTCAGGGCTTTGCTGAAACAAATCCACGATCCAATCAGCACGAGGACGTTGGCCGTCAAAACTGACTTTGACAGAGTACCAATGACAGCTGAATGACCGGCCCACCGATGTCACCGCAAATTTCTTGTGTGTGTGTGTGTGTGTGTGTGTTGTGGGGGTTGGTGTCGTCATGGCGACGAGATACTGAAGGCACAAGGTTACGACTCCCAGCGCTCTCTTTAAAAAAAAATTAAAAAACACAACCAACCAATCGTTAAAAAACAAACATATTAACATTGGAGCGGACCAGCAGGTGGTGCCTCCGTGTTTTACACCATCACCTCCGCCTGGGTTACATGTCACTGTTGTCCCATGTGCAACAGTCCATCACTCCTCCTCCTCCTCCTCTTCATCAACCGCTCCATTACGACTTGACTTCCTGTGGTTGCGTTCAGGATTTTCTTTCATGTCGATATAGATTTGTGTGTGAGGGAACAAGCTTAAGAAAAACCCATTTGCTACGTCAACTCTCACACACACACACACACACACACACACACACACATTCAAGTATACGGTATGAACTGCACATGTAGTAAATATCTAGTTAGATTCATAAATATTAAATGGTTGTAAATAAATAACTCCCCCCCTCCCATATCACATTGATAGCTCGACAAATCATTATTGTTATTTTTGGATTGTTATTATTTCATCTGTAGCCTGACCACTGTGTACTTGTACTACGAGTACTCGTTGTGTGAATCAAAGTTATATAGCGTCAGGACCCGGTCACACCAGGAAGAGACAGCAGATTCCTTCATGTGATGTTAGCGATAAAGCTACGTATAGCGGCCACTTTAGGGTTCAGGGTTGGAAGGAGGCGGGAGCGTATCCCAGAATGCACCGAGCACAACACCACAGACGTAAAGCAGGGTATGCTTAAGGGCGGGAGCTACGCGCTGATTGACAAGTCCCTACCACAGCGTTTTAACTTTAACCCTTTCAGTGTGTACTGTTTACTTCATCAAAGGTAATTGTAACATTTTGGTCTCTTGTGTTGGTGTTCCGTTGTACTTAAGCTTTGCCCTTATGTGCCACCAATGGTTCCAACAACCAAGATGGAGGACGTCCACTTCTTCTGTAGTCTGTTGTCACTAACTAACGGCAACACAAACTGATGTGACGGGACCCCTTTTTAAAAATGATACTGTTTTTAGTGTGTTTTATCTGATATGTTTAACGTCTAAATTCTCCGCAGAAGTGTTTTGTTACTTTAAGAGAAAAAAACCCTGAATTGAAACCAGAGCAGTCACATGCTAACGTTGCGTTAGCTGTGGAGATCCTCCCTCTTATGACGCTCCCCACGCTTTCGCCCAGAATACAAACCACAGCATCTTCACCCTGAATAATTACTGAGGCAAAACCATCCAGTTTAACCTGGAAGGAAGCATCTCGATACAAACCTGGGGTCCTCAAGCTAGAGGGCTAAAGTTATATAAGTAATCATCCTCAAGGCTCCATGCAGCCCGGTTTTAATTGATTATTTGGGAAACACATCCGGATGCTACGTCTTACTTACTTAGTAAATCAATGATAACCTCAAAGAGGTTATCATTGATTTAATATGTCGATGTACCTTCGTTTAGCAGATTGAAAACTGCAGCCACAGTTAAATTTTTTCAGACTTCCCATCTTCACAGCCCTTTTATATCCTTATCAATCAGATTTGTTTGATCAAATAGGGAACAAAATGGGTGGGACTTAATCCAATCACACTTCTTTCAACTCTTTCTTGCTAACCTTCCTAAAACTAAACTAAAAGAATGCTTAAAAACTCTCCTAAGTCTGTGATCATAAGGCTGGGCAGTGCTAACAGGCTATGGCTAAAAAAAGGCTAAGGCTAGCCACCAGACTGCCAAAAAAGGCAAATAGTTAGCCAGCTACAGCTAGCTGACTGCTTCAAAGTTTGTAAATTGTTATCAAAGTGACACCGTAACAGAAATAAATAACTTTAACAACTAACTAGTGGTAATTAGCCAGCCAACAGTTAGCCAGCTGATTGACACTAAGCTAGCATGTCAACACAGGCCAGCTCCACACTTTAAAACAACAGCTAGCTAAGAAAGTTAGCCCGCTAACAGGTCGATGGTTCAGTTAGGATTGATTCATTGTCATTCAAGTAATGACAAGTGCGACATGTTAAACTGATCCGTAACAAAATGATTTCGTAGTGATATGAGACAAAGATTAGCTTGCTAATCGTTAACCTTTTTTGCAGCTGTTTTTTTAAGTATTTCAAGGATATATCTGACTGGTTTGTCAGTAAACCACAAACATCGTGACGGTTAGCAGATAAAACCTTGTAGGAGAGATTATAAGAAAGTTGTTTTTGGTGTTGATTTATCAGCTAAAAACATTCTGTGGTAAAAAAACATAAGAAAAAGCTTTGTTCCCTCTCTCAGCACCATGTTGTTTGACGTGTTTCGGAGCTACAGAGCGGAGTGTGCTGATTGTCTGAGCAGCCAAACTGGAAACCGGCTTCCCGGCCGGTTTAGCTCACAAGCACGGCTCCATGACTCCCAGCGCGGCGGCGAGCGCGGGGTCCCTCCGCTCTCAGCTGACCAGCTTGGGCAGCACCGTCCTGGGCTGGATGTTCCCGTTGGCGTCGGTGATTGCCGCCAAGTTAGTCCTGGTTTTGGAGGAAGAGGCGGTGGTTGAGGAGGTGGTGGCGAGCTTGGATAAAGAGGTTATGGCGCCGTCGGCGGTTGTGGCGGCGCCGCGTTTAGAGGAGGAGGTCTTGTCCCCTGGCGTGGTGCCCGTCGGTGGCTTGGGGAGTCGTCTTCTCAGCCACGGGTGGCGCAGCGCCTGGCTGGGCGTCATCCTGAGCGCCGGGTCCCACTCCAGGCACTGCTTCAGGAAGTCCAAGAACAGCGGGTCGTCTGCGCCCTTCAGCGCCACGCTCCAGTCCTTGCTGCCGGGCGTGCCGCGCACCTTCCCCCGCCGTGAGCGGCCGGCGTTGAGCATGGCGGTGCCGTCGGGCAGCGTGGTGACGGTGCAGTAGCGCGGGTAGCCCTTGGATGACACAAAGTTCTTGGCCCTCTTGGAGGCGTCGAGGAGCTTCTGGCTCGGCATTCCCAGCAGCTCGATGATGCACGCCAGCTGGTCGGCCTCGTCCTCGCCCGGCAGCAGCGGGTAACCGGTCAACAGCTCGGCCAGAATGCAGCCCAGGGACCACATGTCGATCGGCATCCCGTACCTGGAGCCTGGAGGGCAACGACGTGGCCGTTAATACCTGGATTAGTTATGCTGCTAATCAATACCCCACATTCCCCATTCACGAGTTCCCAATCAGATTTTAGACGTTATCCATCACAAACGACATTTACTCTTTGTTAAGTGTTATGAGTTCGATGAGATTAGAAGCGATTTGTTTCTCATTGCGATTATTTTGGGAGATAACATGTGATTTGTAGGAAAAGATCGCAAAAATACTTAGTAGTGTTTAGTGTTAAAATAAGTATGGGAGTGTGAAAGGTACGCAGAAAATAAACGGTGGCATATTATTCAGTAACACAATAATTGGGTGGAATATCGATGTATCATTACGTTGCGTTACGTTGTTGAAGAGCAGCTCCGTTAACTGAGCTCTACTTCCTGTTCTTACCTAGAATGACCTCCGGCGCTCTGTAGAACCTGGACTGGATGTAGGTGTAAACTCTCTGATGTTCGTAACAGCTCGAACCAAAATCTATGACCTGTAGGGAGAGAGAATTGGTTTCAATAGATGGATTGATGACTGAGACCGACACAAAGGTCCAGACCTCCACATCCCCGGCCCACCTTGATGCCGCTGCGTCCCTGCTGCTTCAGCAGGATGTTCTCGGGCTTCAGGTCGCAGTGGATGATGCGGTTCTTGTGCAGCGAGTCCAGGCACTGCAGGATGGAGTGGGCAAACTTCCTGACCAGCGGGAGGCTAAAGCCCTGGAACTTGTTTTTCTTGATGAGCTCGTACAGGTTCATGCTGAGCAGCTCGAAGGTCATGCAGATGTGGTTCCGGAAGGTGAAGTTCTCCAGCATGTGGATGACGTTCATGCTGGAGTCCTTGTCTTGCTTCCTTAGGTGCTCCAGGATGCGGATCTCCTCAGCCGCCTGCCGGTGGAAGCGCTTCTCATTGCGGACCATCTTCAGGGCTAAGTGGGTCTGAGACCGGTGGTCGAAGGCCTTCACCACCTGCAGCAGTGAGGAGGAGCATGGTTGTATTGAAGAGTAAAGAGTGATTTACGGACCCAATGGTCAATTCTATTGTCCTTATCAGTATAGCTAGTAGCAGACACAGTAGGATCCACCATCAGTAGCCATGTCTACTCTACTAGTAGAACTGTTGGTACTTGTAGTACTGTTGGTACTGTTACTACCTGTCCAAAGCTGCCCTTGCCAATGACCTTCAGGACCTCGTAGCGGTAGGCGATGTGGTCGTGTGGAACGTGGATGTAGGATCCCTGATCGTCATCGTAGCCGCCGTTGTTGGCTCCGCCCGGGACCCCTGACCTCTTCTTCGCATTTGGGCCGACGAAATACACTGTGGGGGTGGAGGCAGAGGGCGGTGACTGGTGGACGGTACCATGGGGTTATTGATTTTGTACCTGTGGGGGTGTCGATCCACTCACCTTCGGGGTAGCTGAAGACCTCGTGGTGCTCCAGAGACGACATCTTGGACATGAACTGCTTCATGGCCTGCTCCGGTGACAGGGAGGACGGCTTCGGCTTGCCCTCCGTCGACTTGTTGGAAGAGGCGCTGCCCTGCCGGCAGTGGTTGGGGGGCTCCGGGGCCGAGGACTGGCGGTCTGGCAGCGGGAGGCCCGGCCGGGTGGAGCCGAGAGGAGCCAGGCCGTTGGGCTGGGAGGTCAGCACCGGACGCTTGTTGGTGTTCTCCTCGTACAGCTGGGTGACCTGAGACTGAGACGACAGCTGGACGGCCTGCGACATGGCAGCTCTAGGGCCTCCCTGAGGAGCATAGGAACGTAAGAGGAGGAGCAAAAGAGATGTCAGAGGAGAATGAAGGGAGGGAGAGGAGGGGAGGACAGACAGACGGAGGACGAGGAGGAGGCGATCATCAAAATATGAGGGGAGGAAATGGAGAGGAAGGAGAATCGACAGCAGGAGAAGATCATCAGAGGATTAGGGGAGGAGGAGGAGAGGAAGAGGACCAATAGAAGCAAAGGGAGGAAGCTTATCAAGTGAGGAGAAAAGGATGGAATAAGAGAAGGGAGGTGAGTAGGAGGAAGGAGACGCCGAAGGCAATAGAGATGGGAAGTTCAAACCTTTTTGTTTTGAAACGATAGAAAAGAAAACAACTGTTAAATCCCTGATGTTCTTGAAACACTGGAGCCGGTTTGTGTGGTTACTTAATAAATTAATAATGTGTCGCCTCGTTCGCTCTAATCAATAATAACAAGTGAGACAGCTGTCTCATTGTCGCTCGCTGGGTGAGTCACTCCCCGTCGCCGTGGTGACCAACACACCTGTGTCCTTTCAAATAATACACCGCACACACACACACACACACACACACACACACACACACAGACAGCAGGTCTTTGACTTCCGGGTCACAACTAACACACACTAACATGTAAATGTGCCGCCTCTCTCTTTAAGATGATTGATTATCTGATCGGTTTCCCCAGAAGTTAGGATTTATTTTTAGTGATAAACAAAAGCCTCCACGGGAAAATTCTGCTAATGCCAACGTTCACTTTGGAGTTAATGGAATAAACAAATGGTCGAGCAGCTCTTGTGTGTGTGTGTGTGTGTGTCTTTCCTTCACGCCATATAGCATATACGTATGCTTCGCTAACGTGCTATATAAACATTCATTTATATACATATAAATGCTGGACTATCAGAGTCTGCAGTAGAATGAGAGGTTTTCTAAAGGGACCCCGGGGAAACAGTACCACATGAAAGTAACGGTGTGTCATGGACACGTTTCTTAACACAACCCCCTCACAAATAAGTCAGTGGGTCAGATAACGGCCCGGCGGGGGGTACGGGGAGGGAGAAGCGCGTCGTACCGTCAGGTTGTGGTTGCGGAGTCGCGGCAGCGCGCCGGGCGACGCCGTCTGAGAGCCACCGTGAGCCGGAGAGAAGACCGGCTCGCCCGCTTTGCCTGGAGATAAAATAACAGAGATACAGCAGCAAAACACAAAGACATTTAGAATGGATGCAAAAATGTACCTTCTTGTGTTACGATTTACCGTAAATTCCAGACTATAAGCCCCTAGTTTTCCCCCACGCGGACTACGTGAAGAAAAACAACAGCCCGCCCCCTTCAGGCCGCAGTGAGACGCTGCATAAGGAGGCTGCCAGTCCGGCTGCTTTTAACATTACAGGTCATTTATCTGACGCTTTTATCCAAAGCGACTTACATTGCATTCTTAACCCGTGGCTTTTTACATGTTTGCCCAGGGAGCAATTAGGGGTTGGGTGTCCCGCTCGGGGACACTTCAACATGGGACATTGAGCCGCCGCGGCTTGAACCGCCGGCCTTGCGGTTCCCGGCGCGCCGTCTCTACCTCTGCGCCACGACGACGCGCATCTTTAACTGCGTTATGTCAGATTAGCAAAACTGACATACGGGAAATACAGGACCCGGACAAACTGAAGGTTTTACAGAGCGAGCTGAGCTGCAAACACGCAACTTCTCCTCGGCACGAAACGGCAAACAATCAAAGCAGTTGTAGCCGATCTAGTCTGTTTTATTCGATGTAGTCGGCAGTCAGGCGCCCGCTAAGCAGACAGTCGTTTTTTTCTCTTTACATTTGAATATTAATGTTCACATTCAAATAGTTGTTTTTAACAATATATATTTGAATATAGAATATTCGTTGACAGCCCTGTGACCCAATGGCTCCTCAAACCTGGCGTTTAGCCTAGCTTAGCACAAAAAGTGGGGGCAGGGAGAAACTGCTAACGTGGCCCCAATCAAAACACGGCCAACATGTTTTGCCGGGTTGCCAGGTCTGATCTGAGGGTCCATGTCTCCCCTTAACATACCGAGCGTCACATGACACGGGCGCCAGCGACGGGGTTAGGGTTTCCTAACACGCTCGTCAAGCTCCCAAAATACTGGAAAGCCTTTGGAATCCGTCCCACGGACACGTGACCTCAGTGTTCTTTGAACAGCGGGAGATAAAAAAGATCCTCGTAGACGAGCGTGTCTCCGGTTTTATGTTCGACCCTGAAACAAAAAACCCAGAGAAGCTGATTGGTTTGGTTTGTCTCGACCTGTTCAGGTCTGACTCTCAGAAGTAACAGTTTAACTGTTCACCAAACCGCAGGTGTTGATTGGTGGAACGGAGGAGGCACCAACAGAGATGGAACAGGAAACAGATGTTTGTCATTAACCCTAAATATCTCCTGCACGATTCAATCTACTGATTTCAGTTTTGCTGAGATGGTTTAATAATGTACATTTCTGTCACTGAATGCTACAAACTGTAAAAAGACGTCTTTACCTTTTTAATATATATATATATTTATATATAATACATTCAGTATTTAGCTTTTTGTCTGACTTAATTTAATGATACATTGTTTTATATCATTTATATATTTTTTTTAAGAATTAATGGCTGATCTGTTGCACACCTGTACCTTGTGAAGTGGCCACTATAATATAATATATTATAGATATCACTGAAACCACAACGTACACACACAGCCAGACAATCCTCCTTTGACCACAACATGAGGACACATCGCAGCGGTTAAAGGTCAGAGGACACGGAGGACCCCTGTCTCCATGAGGACGGTTGATAAGCGCCGTACTTCGATCGGCTTTCTCTTCCACCGTTCTTATCCGATTCTGCCACAGATTCCCGATCTGGGTCAAAATAGCTTGACAGTGACGCCGGTGTAAAAAGTACTTTAAGTAACTTCATTGATTCATTGAGTGAACACGCAGATGAAGCTTTAACTCCGACGACGGATCGGATGAAAAACGCTCGCCGCCCCCCCGTCCAGCCGGGACAGATGGCCTCCGCTCTAATCCCGCTAACGAGCGGCTAACAGTGACGCATCGACCTGCTGTAATCCCGCTAATGACCGAGGTCACAGATAAATCCGTCTCAGTATTCTGATGCTCATCAATACATCAAACACACGGAGAAAGCGTTCTGCTTCCAGCTCCTCAGATGCAGAAATATCTTGGAATATATATGAACATTGATGAGCATCTTTGGACATTTTAAAGGTTCAACTCATTACAACAATCCAAAGTTGAGACATTTCCTCTCTTGTTTTTATTATTAATACAAGCTGTAGATTGAAGATCAATCAGTTGATCAATTACATTATTACATGTCATTTAGCTGACTTACAATAAGTGCATTTCAACCGTGGTAAATGGACTGTACTGGACTCAAAACGCTTTAACACTACATGTCATCATGCACACACATGACAGGAGGCACCACACCCACCAGTAACTAACATCCACACACTGTGCTCGCAGCTGCAGGAGCCATGTTGGGGTCAGGCGTCTTGCCCAAGGACACATGAACAAGCGGGATAGCCGGCCCTGGGATCGAACCCCCAACCCTCTGATTGGAGGACGACCGTGCGCCCCACTGACCCACAGCGGCCCCACATCAGGATTCAAACCCACAAGGAACAAGCGCAATTTCACCAAATAAGCCGATTTACAGCTTGCTGTACATACGTGCAGGTTAAGTGGTACAGTTAGTGTTTTTAGTGGAGGTGAAGAGCAGGCGGCGCTCTGAATGCGAACCTGACACCCGAGCTGGGAACCGTCGAGCAGCATGCCGAGCGAGCTCGCCCGGCATGCTGCTCGACAGGAACAAATAAAAAAGCAACGTGACCGCACACATGCAGGGAGAGCAACGAGATTAAAAAATGTCCACGAATTGTAGATCAAACTGGCCGATGTTAGAATTTATATTTCACTTTTTTCTGAACCAAGTTTTAAACTATCCACCGGTTCTGAGTTTCCACGGTAACAACAACTACATTGAGTATAATTAGAAGTCTGAAGGCCTCCTTGTCATCCTAAATAAGTCCTTGTGAGAAGTCCTCCTGCCACAGCAGCACTGAATGTTCACCACTCTGTGCTGCATTTATTCAGTTCACAACGACAACAGGAAGCCACCTCCAGCTCTTTAAAGCGGAGTCAGAGCTTCATGAGTTAAAGCTGCGTTCTCTGTAGTGACCAGCAGGGGGCGACTCCTCTGCTCCCATAGACGTCTATGAGGAAATGACTCTACTTCTCTGTAGTGACCAGCAGGGGGCGACTCCTCTGCTCCCATAGACGTCTATGAGGAAATGACTCTACTTCTCTGTAGTGACCAGCAGGGGGCGACTCCTCTGCTCCCATAGACGTCTATGAGGAAATGACTCTACTTCTCTGTAGTGACCAGCAGGGGGCGACTCCTCTGCTCCCATAGACGTCTATGAGGAAATGACTCTACTTCTCTGTAGTGACCAGCAGGGGGCGACTCCTCTGCTCCCATAGACGTCTATGAGGAAATGACTCTACTTCTCTGTAGTGACCAGCAGGGGGCGACTCCTCTGCTCCCATAGACGTCTATGAGGAAATGACTCTACTTCTCTGTAGTGACCAGCAGGGGGCGACTCCTCTGCTCCCATAGACGTCTATGAGGAAATGACTCTACTTCTCTGTAGTGACCAGCAGGGGGCGACTCCTCTGCTCCCATAGACGTCTATGAGGAAATGACTCTACTTCTCTCTTGATTTATTCCCTCAGTAAACATTGCAAACATGAGTTTATGGTCTCAGTCTCTAGTTCCAAGATGTTCATTTAGTAAATGATGGTCCATGTAGAGTCAAACAGACTATAAAGCAGGGGACGCTTTAGGGCGGGGCTACACCCTGATTGACAGGTCACTACCAGAGACGTATAGTCTCTACGTCCTCCTGAGTCCAAACGTGGTGACTTCCTGTTCACAGGGTGCAGAAAAAACAAGATGGCGACCACTTAATTGCCGAACTAGGTGCTTAGGTAGCGCGCTAGTTAGCAGAGCAGGCCGTGTTTAAATTAAGACGTTACAGCAGGTGAAGACGCCATTTAACCCACTCATACTTTTACTGAATAAAGGACCCTCCACTCTAAAGTCCTTGTTTATGGATAATCGTTCTTCTGATAATATTTAAAGCTTCCAGACTCAACAACTGCACCTGATTTTTAACTGGTTCCTGAAGTTTGCAACAATGTTTTTGCAGATTAAGACTAACTAACTTCTTTTTCCACTGCAACGGAAAATGATCACACCTGTCATGAAGATAAAACTGTATCAAACGTCCACAACAATCTACTCCGTTCTTTCCTCAACCTTTGTTTTGTGTTCAAATCATTTAAACTATTCTTTGCTGGGTTCATATTTTCACTATGCATTCTCAATATTAGTACATCACATGAAACGTCTACAGTATAAAACTGGGAGACATAGAGGAGCATAAGCTGTCCCACGGGAGAGCCACTGGCTGCAGACTCAAACCACTAATGAACTGGTTATGAAACCAGTATTATGGACACGTGGTAAAGTAAAGAAGCCTGAGAACAACCCAGACCCATAATATCTACATAATACTGCATATTCACTGCAGTACGATGTATACTGGTGAAATGAGCTGTAATGTTTATAATACATAATGCTAAAATATGCAAATATGTGAGGAAATCATCTCAGAACTACAGTTACATGAACAAACATTATGCAACAACAAGGTCAGTAATGGTTATTATAATAAAGTACATATAGTTATAGTTCAGGGTAAATAGGCCACAACATGGTGACAACAGAAATGTTGCCATAAAGTAGCCCATGAATATGAGATATTTAGTACTTCTAACTACGCGTTTCCACGGTGACGTCCTGTGTGATTGTGAAGTTTATCCACGTCGGTAAAGGTTGAGGCGCCATGGCGGCGTTACGGTTTTAAGCGCCTCTACTCGTCGATGCTGCCGTCCACACCGTCAACACCTGACATCATCTGACCTGCAGCGGATTCCATATCACACTGACGGCCCTTTGTTCTGAATACTACATGTCTATTCTGCGTTCTCTATCCATCTGTCTGTTTATTTGTATATTACTTTGCACTTTATTGCTCTTTGCCAAGTCACAATAATTATGTTATTAACTCATCATTCAATTAATGGACATGTACAAAATAACCTGAAGCATTTCCTGCTCTACTGTCAGTGTACCGGACTTCTACCGGAGGAGTGAATTACAACACAAATGTTTCATACTATCTTGTTGTTGTTTATCCTGATTGTTGTTCTCAGGCGGACCAACTAGGGGGCAAAGTATAACCCCCACTAAAATACTCCTTTGTACTACCATATGTACTACGTCTTTGTAAAATACGTCTTTGTTTCTTACATAGGGGAATGCAGATGAAGCTGTGATATGTACTCACTATAAAGTGATATATGTGCATTTAGCCTGAGATAAGTAATGAACACGCTGCTGTGAACTCGTTGGTAAAGCGGCAGTTAGCAGGAGGCTAAAGAGACTAACGTGTAATAAAAGCGGCCCGCCGACCCTGAAACCCCAAAGCAACGACCTCTGACCCCTGGCCGAACCGAACCCGAGCGTTAACAGGCCAGACACCACCCCCGAAACCGGGCGAACACACGCCGAAACCCGCAGAGAGACACCGCGCGTCGCCTCCGATCCACCGCAGAAGCGACCCGGGGCGACGGGGCGCGTTTGCCTCGTCGTGGCGGCGTTATTACACGTCGGTAACCGTCAATGAGCCCACGGGACGCGCTGCTGCTGCTGCTGTCACTTCTCGTCGGTTAGCTCGCTAGCTAAAAATAAACCGACGGCCGGTGAAGCGGCTGCGACGGCTCCGCGGAGCGGCGACTCAACGGCGGAGTGACGCGGCGGCGGGTGAGGGGGAGACGGGGGGGGGGGGGGGGGGGGGGGGAGTCCCCGCCGGAATGGCCGGGCTCGGGCGCCCTCGGGCCGGCTGCAAAGGCTGTGCTCACCCGCTGGGAGGACCGAGGTTCCGGGCTTCTTGGTTAACATGGCGGCCGCTCCTCTCCTCTGGACACGGGCGGACAGGGACGGGACGCCTCCTCTTCCTCCGTCCGGGGCTCCTCCTCTTCCTCCTCCCTGCTCCTCCTCTCGTGAGGTGTAGAATACTATGTATAGTATTGTACTATGGTGTACTACTGTATATACCAGTAAAGCATATTGCGTTGTTTTAATAGTGTAGTATAATATACGGTATAATATAGAACTGTTGTACACTACAGTTTTATAAAGTACTCTTGTATACTTTAGAAAAAACATTATAAAGCAGGTGTACTTTTTTGTAGTTTGTCCCCTCTTGCATTGGATTGTAAGGTTTAAAGCCCTCTAACCCCTTTGGTGGTTGGGTCGTGTTTTATTTTGCAACCACGGAACAGGAAGTGAACACATCTGTTAGAGACCTGTCACTCAGCGTGTGGCCCCGCCCTAAAGCGTCCCCTGCTTTATGGTGTGTTTGAGTCTAAATGGACCATAATATACTAAATGAACATCATGCTGTATTGAAGAAGACTTGAAACTAGAGAACATAAACTGGTGGGTTTTTCCCCAGATGAGTCGCCCCCTGGTGGCTACTAGACAGAATGCACCAGATCGAGTTCAGAACTGGAGGTTCTCCGGCTGGTACCCACCCCAGCACCGGGGCTCTGATACTGGGGTACTTTTCCACTGAAATAGGCAGAATGTCACTTACCTCTTCACACCTTCCCACGAGCTCTCGGCAGAAAGGCAAAACCATTGTCAACTATTAATCAAACTGCAGGAAACCATGGCAACAGTACTGATTCTTCTCAAGATGTCAGAGCCGACGGCACACGAGGTGCTGCAGGCCGGACTGGCTCTCTTTTCCCGCATGAGGACGTCAACAACTACACAAAGTGTGATTGTTTACTTGGTTGCCTGGAAACCATCAGGTGTTTACATTAGAAACACAGGAGAGAGAGTTGGTTTACACTTAAGTGTGGGTGCATGTGTGTGGTCTCAGGTTTCACAGATTTTTGTTGAATCACTACAAGCACGCAGCATCACCTTTTTTTGTGTTTTTCTTTACGAGGTAAACATCAGGATGTGACTCATAAATGCATCAGCAATATATTCATATGTGTGAACTATTGTTTGCTCTCATTTTATTTTCTCGAATGTATTGTGCATTTGAATGTTTTTACTATGTACTTTATTTACTTAATAAACAAAGGCTATAGCAGTTAATCATTGGAGGTTAAAAAAAATAAAACAAAAAAATACATTTCAAATTTTTTTTAAATGTGTCATTTTGGATTAACTATCAATATTTGGTTACATTAAGAACTAATAAAACACTTGTCGTTTAGACAAAACTACACCGCCATCTAGCGGTTCGGCCGCGATAAACCGAGGAGGTCACTTTATTGTGAAAACAATGGCGACCGGACTCGGCAACTTCAAGACGTTCCAAGATGGCGACCGGGCGAGGGCCGTTTTTTCAGAGCTTCTTGGAGGGTTTGAGGAGGAACCGAGCCGAGCCGAACTGCGGCCCAACGGCTCCGGCAGCACGACAGTCGCGCGCTACACCGAGTCCGACCGGAAGCGAGTCGGGTCCGCGTGCTGACGGTCCAACGGCCGGAAAGAGACAACCGAGCGGTGGCAGGTGATTTATTTAACGTTACATTTATTCAAAGAGTTAATCCACATTGTTTATTCCTTTGTTTTTATTTGTAATCCAGATGGACACCGCCGAGAATAAAGGAATATGAAACATATTTAACTACAATGGTAACTTCTCAGTCTGACGACAACTTCATGGAAAGGTACGATAGCTTTTTTAATTTAAAATAAATGTCACAGTAATTATTACTTGAATATGTAACGTTAAAGAAAAATACATATATTTACTGATAATAAATGTATTGTATTGCCAATCAAAAAAATAATGTAAATTGAGTAAAAAAGAAAAAGAGAATCTTAATCCTAATATATTTCTACCACCTTACCTGTCACCACCTGTACACGCACACTGTAAACTACTGACTCACCTGTCCTTTCTCACTTTCTTCTCCAGGCTGCCGCCTGAGATCTTGCTGAAGATTCTGTCGTACCTGGATGCCTCGGCGCTGTTCTGCATCAGCCACGTCGACAAAACCTTCCACCAGCTCGCCGCCGACGAGTGAGACAGTCCACGCAGTTTCACGTCAAGAGAAATCGCTTTAATCAAACCGTTTTATCCCATGATTAATGCAGATATATCAGTAATCAGTCCTAAATGGAAAGTCAACTAATAGAACAATAGCATGTTTATAATGTGGCTTCTTCATGTGCCATGGTTTACTCTTACCAGGGGCTTCTATTGTGAAGCAGCTTGATGGCTTTTATTGTGAAGCAGCTCTATGGCTTTTATTGTGAAGCAGCTCTATGGCTTTTATTGTGAAGCAGCTTTATGGCTTTTATTGTGAAGCAGCTTGATGGCTTTTATTGTGAAGCAGCTTGATGGATTTTATTGTGAAGCAGCTTTATGGCTTTTATTGTGAAGCAGCTTGATGGCTTTTATTGTGAAGCAGCTCGATGGCTTTTATTGTGAAGCAGCTTGATGGCTTTTATTGTGCCTATTTGACACTTCTTTCGCCTGTAGTGAAATCTGGCGTAAGATCTACGTCTCAGATTTTGGGAGCCAATCCTGGAGGCCGAAGCCGGCGGCGCCGGGGGTCGACTGGAAGTCCGACTCAGCGGCGGCTCGGCGGCCGGCGGGTCACTGGAAGAAGGCGTACTTCAGGACGGTCGGACAGGAAGTGAACAAGTGGAGGAGCGAGATGAGAGACGTCGACCCACACAGCGGTTTACCCCGGAGCACGCAGCGCGTCCTCAGGTACCACAGGAAGTCACGGCTGCACCGCTACCGGTTCAGAGGACACGCAACCTTTGAGACAACAAACCTCCTCTGTGGACAAAGACCAAGAGACGAACGAAGACGTGAAGCGCTTTTCTGACCTTCAGTAAATGATTAATTGTGAATAGAATCAGCAGATGAATGGATCATATCTGGTAGATGTATTATTGCGTAGAAATGGCTGCTAATGGAGCTCCTGGTTTGATGAAGCACCTCAGAGGTATCTGCCTCCCTCCTGAAGGAGCCTGAAGGTCGGCTGGCAGCTGACGCTCACCTGTTGCTCTGGGCGGGAGATGACGGTGGAGCCGAGCCGCGCTCACTTCTGCCAATCCTCGGCCATCGTCTTCTTCGGGGACGGACGCTTCCCCCGACTCGGTCAGATCCAGAGCCTCCGCCTGTACGGCGTCAGGACGGCGAGGAGCGTCCGAGCCGGCAGGTGAGAAGCCCGTCTACTTCCTGTCCACAGGTCGTCAACCGCCGCAGTGTCAATAAAGCTCCATCCCCCCGATGGGTGACGATGACGTCGCCGATGTGACCAACCGTTTAGATCGAGGAGCTAGTGGCGTTAGCAGCACCGCTAATGGCTGACAGCTGACCGACGGAGGTTCACTTGTGTTAAATGTCTCTGTTACCAGCTTCTGTAACAAAACTAATATATATCGTAGCAGCTTGTGATCCTCACCGAGCCTATAGTCGCTCGATTTCGTGACTTCGCCCCCACCACACACTAGACCGGGCTGAGCGCTCTCTCATCCTGCAGCTGGACGCGAGGACTCGCGGGTGTTTCTTCGGCAGAGACGAGCTGGTGACTCTGAGGCGCCTGCAGCCCGCCGTCACCGTGGCAACCTGGAGGGCAAGTTTCATTATTATCATCATATCTTCTCTCTGAAAATAAAAATAGACGTGATCATTATATATTTGTGTGTCTTTGAGTACTGTGAGCGCTATAAAAGTGTTAAGACATTCCGTCATGGGGAATTCTCACAGGATTGCGGCAGCAAAGTGGATATTTGTGTCCATTTGAGCTTGAGCACAATTTATGTTTCCCATTGACTTATTGTATGTTGTGCAATAATAGTTCCATAGTGTACAAATGCTCTGTGTGGTTCACCACGTTGACTCGCCTGCATTTATGTTTCTGTTCAGGGTGAAGACACGGTCGCCTTCGTCATGGTCACGCTGCACCTCCACAAACTGCTGGAGAGAAGTCTGCTGGGATCTCCAGTCTGGTGAGCTGCTCCTCTGCTGGTCAGAACACATTATCACCCATCTTATTAATGGTGTCACACATGGATCTGTGGTTATTGATTGTAGGAGGTGCAACAAAGCGTTGTGTGTCGCATTTCAGCGGTCTAGAGAAAAATAGTCCCTGTATGTAAACCGCATTGGGTCTCCTGGCAAGATCTCGCACCATCTCATTCATTGGCATCGCTCATGACGTCCACCTGAATTGTCCGGTTGCGAAAGCTCGCATCGCCCCAGACTGATCAATCCGATTAAACCGATCATTTGTGGTGATTCCGGTCTTTTTTTTGTTCAGCCCGTACTCGGAGCCCCTCGGCTCTCCTCCTGTGGGTGAATCGGACCCCGAAGTCGGTCTGCGAGGCTACTCGCTGCACTTCGTCCTGCACAACACAGGCTCAGAGATCATGGCGGGAAACTTCCGCCAGCTGTGCTGTCGCCCAGGTAATCTGATTACATGATCTGACCCAGTTATCTGATCACATAGTTATTGACAGGTAATCTGATTACATAATGTGAGCAGCTTAGAATTAGAATAGTTTAGAATAATTTAAGTACATAATATAACCTGAATAAAAGGTAATCTAGTTACATCACATAGGCGAGGATAATGGCTAAAAAAATATATAGTAGGCTTTGCCATTCAAAATAAATAAGCAGTTCTAATATTTTAAATGTTTTCTAGAACTCTGAGAATTTCAACTTTCTTTCTCGCCATTTTTCGGTACTCAACCTGGGATTAAATAAACAGGTGGACCCGTCCTGCTGGTTTTGTGTGCTGATCAGGTGGAATCCAGCGCGGCCTGCTGGAGCTGAGGGTCATCAGCAGGAGCGACGTGTCCCAGCACAGGTCGCTCTCCGGGGCCATCGAGCTGCCCTGGAGGAGCGAGGCCCTGCAGGGCTCCGTGGAGGTGAGGCCGCCTCCAACAGCACCACCTCGGACACCACCCTGCTGGTAGCCGGTTAGCTTAGCATGAAGACTGGAGATGGATGTCATAATCTTTTAATCAATTAATGAACCTCGCCGAGTAAAACTCTCCAGGAGGGAAATAAGTTCTGACAAAAAACTAAAAGACCAAAAAAAAAAAAGACTACGCCGACTTTATTTCTCATTGAAATTTCTGGTCGATAATAATGAAAAGTTTCCTAACTGAAATATGGATTTAGGTTGAACCTGAACACAGACGTCTGACGGGGGGGTCACATGGTTCAAAAGGTCACGCCCCCTTCTCTTATCCCCCCCCCCGACGTTCCTCTCCTGCGTAGAACTGCTGCGTCATGACGCTGACCCTGCTGGACGACTCCCAGAAGCCTCGCTGGTGCGTCAGCTCCTCCGTCGCCGTTGTCGGGGCGACGGGGCCTCCGGCCCTCGACTACGCCGGCGAGCACTTCGTGATGTGCCACTGCGACCCCGGGGGTCAGGTGACCATGAGGCTGGTCCGGCTGACGGAGCAGAGGCAGTTCCTCGTGGTCGACCTCGTCGTCCGCGTTCCCGCCGCCGGGCGCCACTAGCGCTTCAGAGCTCGTGCGTGATTTAGTTTAATTCATCACAAAGTATCGGAGGGCAAAGCTGCTATTCATGATAAAACGACTCATCGAAGCCTTTGTTCTCATGTTTGGTTCCTAATATATATTAAATATATAAATAATTCAGTGACTGGAGCCTGAAAGCATTTTTCCTTTTGAATTTCAGTGACGTGTTTTGTTTTACTGCTCAAAAGTCTTTTTCTGTAAGCGTTTAAGAATTTTTTAAGAAAGAACTTCTAAATGTGTTATTTGATCTTATACCAATACAGGAAGTCTGTTTGTGTTAAGATTAAACTGTTCATTATAATATCTCGAAATGGGCTAAATGTGTCTCTTTTTTTATTTACAATGCTCAGAAAATAATATATATTTTAAATGCTTAATTTGAATGTGTTTTTATGCAATATCTTCAAGGGGGTTTATTTTCAAATGTGGCCCAAACGTCGTCTCCTGTAAACATGAGTTTGTGCTCCCAAACAGAACCAAACAGATCTTCAGTTTAGTACATTTGACTAAAAGACGTCTCCGTTGTCTCCGGTCGAGCACTTCCTCTTCTTCCTGTCTTCACTTTCTGCGGTTCTTTCTTTCTCTTGTGAACAGCTTCCTGTTCGCGATGCAGATTTCTTCTCCAAGTTTTACTTTCTGGAAATGATGGCTTTGACTAAAACAATACTATTTTTGTGGTTTTAGTATGCAATTTATTTGAAGATAACAAACAACGACAAAAAGCGTCTTAAATTCTTTATTTGAAATTGGTTCATAATTCAGCCATATTGTGCAGCAATATTTGTATTAACAAAATACAAATTCCAAGTACTTTAGTTCCATTAACAAACATCAGGAAAAATTGTGTGATGTACAAAATTTCGTCCTTTGTTTCACTTGAATGTAAAAAAATAGATGACATTGATTATATCTGATAGCCTTACATTTTAATATAATTTGCACGCAGTAAATGAAGAAGATATAAATGAATGAAGAAATTCCATATTCAATATATAGTAAACTCAATTTGGAAAATACCACACATTAAAAGATATTTTGTTTTCCCTTTTTTAAACCAAGACCTTCGACCCAGGAAGGTGTTGACATTTACAGACTAACTTACGCACCTCTGAAAAGAGTTTCCTTGCCAACAAAGATCAGAACCCTGATCAACTCGAATGATTAAGGGTTTCTATTGACGGGACAGATGATCAAGGGGGTGGAGTTTGTGCCATCGTCGTTGGGACAGGGACTTAAGTAAGGAACAATCTTCTCGGAGAAGGAGCAGTCGGTGAAGGAGTAGAGAAGATCTTCAGCATCGACATCGTAAAATGAGACCAGACGCTGCTCATAATCCACAAACACTCCCACCTTCTGAGGAGGTTGATTCAGGTAGAGGTTCACTACAGATTTATCGTTGGCCACGTACTTCCCGTTCCTCAACCAAATCGTCCAGAACCCCTTTTTGGGACATAGCTGGATGTTTCCCTTCCTGTCAATCGACTCTTTGACAACTCCCAAGGTCCAGGCGGTCTTGTTTTTAACCTGAACCTGGAAGTAAAATTTTCCAGAAGAGAAAGTCTGTTCACCCAAGACGTTCACGCATTTCTAGAACCTCGCGGGGTTGTCCGGTAGAATCTTCCTCACATCTCCGTGGTAAACCTGCTTTCCATCCCCTGACAGGATGAGGCTGGGATGAGCCGTGTCGGGATCCAGAGTCACCTCCACCGCAAACTCCTGAACGCTCATCAGCTCGGCCTTCTTTTCTGCATCTTTTTGACCACTGGGACGGACGGGAGAAATGGTCAGAGGGGCGGAGTTTAGACCATCGTCATTGGTAGAGGGACAGAAGAAGGGGTAGAGCTTCTCGGTGAAGGAGCAGCCGGTGAAGGAGTAGAGATGATCTGCGCTATCTACATTGTAAAAGGAAACCAGACCCTCCTCGTAATCCACGAACACCCCCACCTTTTGGAGAGGGTGATCCAGAGAGAGACGGACTAAGGGGCTATCAACCGCCTCATATTCTTCATCATCCAAACAAATGGTCCAGATACCATAACCAGGACCAAGTGTGATTTTTCCTTTCCTTTCAATCGACTCTCTGGCCACTCCTACAGTCCATTCGGTTTTGTGTTTAACCTGAACCTCAAAGTAAGATTTTCCTGATGAGAAACCCGGCTCCCCCAAGACATTGATGCATTTGTAGAATCTCTCGGGGGTGTCCGGTAGAATCTTCCTCACGTCGCCGTGGTAAACCTGCTTCCCGTCACCAGACAGGATGAGGCTGGGATGGGCCGTGTCGGGATCCAGAGTCACCTCCACCGCAAACTGCTGCACGCTCATCAGCTCTGCCTTCTTCTTTTCATAATCTTCTGTTTGACTACTGGGACGGACGGGAGAAATGGTCAGAGGGGCGGAGTTCAAACCTTCGTCATTGGTAGAGGGACTGAAGAAGGGGTAGAGGTTCTCTGTGAAGGAGCAGCCGGTGAAGGAGTAGAGATGTATCGCTCCATGTACGTCGTAAAAGGAGACCAGGCCTTCCTCGTAGTCCACGAACACCCCCACCTTCTGAAGGCCGCGACTCAGAGAGAGACCCACGGTCGGGCTATCGTTAGCCTCGTACTCATTTGCGTTCTTCAACCACAGCGTCCAGTAGCCATTTCGAGTGCTCAGCGTGACGCTTTTTGCTCTGTTGATCGACTCTTTGGCCACTCCCACAGTCCAGGCGGTCTTCCCCTTAACCTGAACTTCGAAGTAAAATCTTCCTGAAGAGAAACTCTCCTTTCCTAAGATGTTAACGCATTTCTTAAACCGCTTGTCGTTGTCCGGGAGGTTCTTATAAACATCCCCGCAGCTTACTTGCTTTTTATCATCCCACAGGATGAGAGCGGGATGAGCTGTGTCGGGATCCAGAGTTACCTCCACCGCAAACTGCCGCACCCTCTGAAGCTCAGCCTTCCTCTTTTCATATTCTTTCTGGCCACCAAACACTTGCTTTTTGACAGGCGAGATAATCAGTGGGGCAGAGTTTCTGCCGCCGCCGTTCTTACAGGGACTGAAGAAGGGGTAGACCTTCTCGGTGAAGGAGCAGCCGGTGAAGGAGTAGAGATGATCTGCGCTATCTACATTGTAAAAGGAAACCACCCCCTCCTCATAATCCACAAACACCCCCACCTTCTGAACAGGGTGATCCAGGGAGAGACGGACTAAGGGGCTATCAACCGCCTCGTATTCTTCATCATCCAAACAAATGGTCCAGAAACCAAAACCAGGACCAAGTGTGATCCCCCCCTGCCTTTCAATCGACTCTCTTGCCACTCCTACAGTCCAGTCGGTTTTGTGTTCAACCTGAACCTCAAAGTAAAATTTTCCCGATGAGAAACCCGGCTCCCCCAAGACATTCACGCATCTGAAGAATCTCTCGGGGGTGTCCGGTAGAATCTTCCTCAAGTCGCCGTGGTAGACCTGCTTCCCGTCACCAGACAGGATGAGGTTGGGATGAGCCGTGTCGGGATCCAGAGTCACCTCCACCGCAAACTGCTGCACGCTCATCAGCTCGGCCTTCTTCTTTTCATAATCTTCTGTTTGATCAGCAGCAAAATGTGTTTTCAGATGTTGGTTGACGGGAGAGATGATCAGAGGGACGGAGTTTTTACCACCATCGTTAGTAAAAGGAGTAAAGAAGGGGTAGAGCTTTTCGCTGAAGGAGCAGCCGGTAAAGGAGTAGAGATGAACTGCGGCCTCTACGTCATAAAAGGAGACCACGCCCTCTTCATGATCCACAAACACCCCCACCTTCTGAAGGGGGCAACTCAGGGAGAGATGGATGGGATCATTACCGTTGACTCTATACTCTTCTCCATCCGTCATCATTAGGGTCCAGTAGCCGTTCTCTGGGTCTGCCTTGACACGTACCTTTCTGTTGATCGACTCTTTGGCCACTCCCAAAGCCCAGGCAGTCTTTCGTTTTACCTGAACCTCAAAGTAAAATCTTTTGGAAGAGAAACCCTGCTTCCCTAAGACGTTCACACATTTGGTAAATCGCTTGGGGTTGTCCGGTAGCGTCTTCCTCACATCGCTGTGATGTACTCGTTTCCTATCAGCAGACAGGACGAGATGAGGATGGACCGTGTCAGGGTCCAGAGTCACATCCACTGCGAACTGCTGGACCCACTTTAATTCTGGGTTCTTTCTTTCAGCCTTTTGTTCTTGGGCAACATCTAAAAAGAGGGCAGAGGACACGCAGGATTTAACTGGTTAGTATTTTAAGAAAAAAAGGTTTGCCCTCATCATACCTGTACAACACAGCTCAAAAGTGGAAACAGATTGAATGTCAGTTGGTTGGCCCTTCGCAAAAAAATAGGTCTGCAATGCTCGAGTGGTGAAAAAAAACAGTCATCTTATGTCTTGTGGTGGATTTTAGAAGTAAAACTAGGTAGGCATGGGTTGAATTTTAAAGGCCGTGCAAATTCAAAGAAGAAGGTAAAAAATCCCTACTGATCACACACTGGAGATGCTCACCTTGCATTTGCCAAAACCTCAGATTTGAGTACCCATCTGTCTTTGAGGGGCCTTACAGAGACCTGTGGACTCTACGGTTATATATGATGGATCAGATGTATGAGAAAGTTGAGATTCACCATCCCTGTGTGTTTTGTATGTCTCTGTGACCAGTGGAGCTATGTTGTTAGGGCAAGGTCCTGCATCAGTCATAAGAGGCTTCAATAAGTGGCTAATAAGCCTCATTTTAAACAGGAGGCGCACATGGGGGAGGTCTGGAAACTAGCCCTGGACGTAGATAGTTCACGGTTTGGTGCATCGCTAGCCGATTGGTGCAAGGAAAGCCCTTGGTATTGTAATGGAAAGAATATAAGAATATATACAAGTGCTGGGATGGGCCATGGGAAGGAATTGAGCTGAAGTGTCTCACAATGATAAGATGTCCCCAGTCTCCTGGATGTAGTGTGGTAACAAGTTGGTTCACATGTGTTGGAAGTGAGTTTCTGTTGATGCCACCTGTAACTGGACTGAGGTATAAGAACGGCTCTGTTGTAAAAAAAAATGTTCTTTGCAGTCTACTGAGCACATAGCTAAACTAAACGGAGAAAGACTTGTTTGATTCAGATCCTTCCTTCTTATTTTCAGATTGTCTGTGAAATATCTTCCATCACAGCATGCAGACCCATTTTTTTGTAAAGGTTTTTCTGTTGAATGTGACCTCTCTGGACTCACACAACGTAAGTCAGACATTTTTTGTTACCCACCAACTTACCATTGCTGGTATTTTGGAAACGCTGCACCAGATCATTCCTGCCGACCTTTTCTAAAATCTTTGCGGTGATCTTCCTGGCTCCGGGTCCGCGATACTTCTGGACCATCAGATCCACCATGGCCGTCCTTTTCGCTTTCTCCACTTTCTCCATGGGGATGCCTGGGAAGCCCTCCATGACTACATCCTCCTTCATCCACCACTTGAATTCCTCAAACTCCTCTTCTTTTAAGTCCTGTAGAGCTTTGAAGAGCTCCTCTTTGAGTGACACCATCACGGCTCGCCTAATGAAAATAAGGGAGAATTCTGAATCAGACGGGTGTTTTTTTTAACAAACTCAGTTGTTGTAAATATTATTAGTAAATAATAAAAATAACATTCATCACTTGACAAATTATGTTGTTTGGAACCAACCCTTAAACAGATTCTACTGGCTGGAACGGTATTTCATGTCATTTACATGTTTTTACAGATATAACAGAACGTAGGTCAAGGGTTGCTCTCTTCTTGTAATACAGCATTATTTAGTTAAAATAGTAAAACGATAAATAGGACTCAAACAAGGGTTTGAACCTTTTACCCCACAAGGAGTTCATCAACCGTCGATCAATAACGGGACGCTGGAGGGAGGAGTTTGGTCTGAGGAAACCCGACGTGAAGTGAAAAGGATTCATCGTCAGACTGTTTGCTAGTCTATGGATCAATAAGTAACTTCCGTCAGTTTGGATTTATTGGTGTTGTTTGTTTACAGTTTCTTGACCTTCACAAAATAAGCATTGATAAGAAAGGGAAGCCCCCCGTTTAGTGTCCCGTGTTCCTCCTTCAGAGCCTCGGACCGCCGCTCCGTAGGGTCGCCCATCGCGCCAATAACGCCGGCTTCCTTTAACTGCGACGGACCGGAGGACATGATCGAGGCTGCGGTTTGTTTTCTTTCGGGCGGTTGTGAGTACAAAGACCCGGGTACCCAAAGGTGGTCCGAACTACAACCCGAAGCCTTGGGTTTTCAACCTTAACCTCCAAGCTTAACTATTGATACAGAGCTCCAGTTTCCGGCGTTTCTCGTGAGCGGAGAGCTAGTTGAGCCTGTGCAGAGCGAACGTAAGCCAGCAGCTGAACGTGCGTTGGGAGGATTCATCTGAGAGCTGGAACAGAAACTTGGCTCAGAGCCGGAGGCTGCAACTCAGGAGGAGGAGGCCTCAGACGGGCCTGAACTTTACTTGACGTAAACATTGGGCTCCCACAGCCGCGCTCACCCAAGCGCTGAAGCACTGCTGCAAGAGTGAAAGTCGCTCAGTGAAACCACACCCGAGCTTATCGGAGCCCGCTGAATCATTCCGTGTTATCACACAGTCCAAACAGCTTCCCCCCCAAACTGAAGGTGCACATCTACCCTGTTCTCCTGGACTTGGTGGCACTTTGTCAGCACTTTGCAGTTTGGCTTCCTTGTACTTGCTTGCTGCTCTTATTGAAAGTCGCTTCGGGTCAAAGCCTCAGCTAAATGTAAATGGACCCTACATTTGCATTCTGTTGATCCCTTCTGAGGCGGCGTTGGTTTTACTAACTAGACAATAAGTTGGTGTAACAGCAGCAACGTAGAGAAGCATCATTAAAGTGAGGAATGCACAGATGGTAACTCACCCGCTGGATTCCAACGTTGGAGTCCTTCGGATTTATTAACGCCTTAAATATTCCGTCTCTTCCTGCGTTCTAGTGACGGACAGAGCGAACTGTGAAACGCCACAAAACGATCTGCTTCCTGTTGAAGAAAGCAGAGGCCGTCCTCCCCCCCCCTCAGGGCGCCGGCGGATGCTGCTCTGGGCTGCAGACCGGCTGCAGAGAGGAAACAGTTACATAAGAGCGATGATCTCACGTGGTTCGTTTTATTTTAACCAATGATGTGACATCAACACACACAGGCTGACTTAAGAGAATCCAACACAACACCTCGACCTCAATCCGCTCTAATAACCAGAATATTCTCGTTTACTTCTGGTGCTCTTATTGTACTTAACCGGGCCTTGAGTTAGTGGAACCAGAAGAACTCACCCGCGCGTTATCAAAGATCTGGTCCATGTTCCAGGGGATCCCTCCTCTGTCTGCGCTTCTTTCCAAAAGTCCGATACAGTCTGCATTGATCTGTTAATGTTCGACATGGTGTCTTTATAAAGTCTGCCACTAATTCTCTGTTAACTATTAACTGTGGTCCACTGTGGTCAAAGGTCCCATGATACTTTGGTATGAAGCCAACAAGCCTCTAAAAAATACAGCTCCGCTCAATCATAACTTGCTGTTTTAGGTTTGATATTTTGCATCTTAGTGGAATGAAGGACGGTGAATAAACTTGGCGTCTGGACCTGTTCTATTGATTAAAACTTCAACTTGTTTTCCCGTGACAAAAAATATAGAAGGTCAAAAAATGTCAATAAAAAAAAAATGAAAATTGTCCTAGAAGAAAATATATGACAAGCTGAAAATGTCATGGAAAAAAGTAAAGAAATATATCATTTTGAAAAATGATGCGGTTGAATAATGTTATGGAATAAAGTGAAAAATATTAGGTCAAAGAAGTCAAACCAGCAGCTCACCTGTGCAGGTGATCAGAGAGGACGGTGATGTCATCAACAGGCGCCAGGTCAAAGATGGACGACCACGGACGCCTCGCGGGGCACAAAGTACCAAGCAGGCTTCATCAAAATGAACCAACACAAGATGAAGGATAGTCTGTCACACAAAGATGTCAAATCAAGTATAATATATACAAGTGTACATAGTACATGTCATTAAAAGGTTTTTACTAAAGTCATTGTATGTCATAAGATTCATATGAAGTCAGTATGTAAAATGTATTAATAACTCTTAGTTATTAAAGTATGTCATAAAAAATGTTTTAAAGTCTGTGTAGTGTTTTTTATAGTGTCGTTATTAATGAAAAAGTACAGAAATGAAGTAATATCGGTTTTTCTGTCATGGTTATGTCATAAAGTAAGTAGTATAGTACATATAGTTATAAAGTTAAACATAGATGGTCATGAAGCCTTTAAGCTTTTATTTCCCTTTTATAACAGAAACCGAACTAAGTTATGGGACAAAAATCATTTCAGAAGTATAAATGCAACAGCAACCAGTTTAAACCACTTGAGTACTTTTAATAACAGTATTGTAATAAAACATGTGTTGTTTTAAACGGGCTGAATGGATGTTTTATACGTCGTGTATTTCCAGAGGAACAAAACACAGCGGAAACTTGACTCTGAGGATTATTGTGTGGAATTCTCCAAGCAACAGACAGCACTAAAAATGTGCACAAACACTTATGGAGCTCATGCACCCTCAACCTTCACTTGAGCAACACATTATACATCTGATATCAGGCATATTTAATGCAAGTTAGATAATAGCAAAAATAATCATTTAATACAGTTAGTTAGTTTTACATCTTAGAATCATTCATGTGAGATACTGAGATACTTTATATTTTCGTTAATGTTTTTTTTATACACAACGAGCCTCAAACATCACAAATTGTTTTTGACATAATTTCCCTAAATTCTGTTCCTTTACGCCACAAAATAGGAAATAAAATCGGTAAAGTTAAAGGAACCCTGGAATATTTTTCTACCACTTTTATTTTGTCCATTGAGTTAATTTATTTACATTTACTCTGGTTTATCTTACACAGTTTAAGTTGCTGAAATTATCATATCCAGATTCAGATATTTCTACAACTTGTCTCGAGTCTCCATAAAGTACGCACAAAGATGTGTATTAACGCTTTAAATGTCACCAAAACATCTGCGTGACACTCCACAGTAAAGGTACAGGTAAAGTTACAGTAGTACTGAGGTCATGTGGTCCGTTGCCAGGCAGCGGCGGGAGGGGGGCGGGGCCATGTGGGGAGGCGATCAGGCGGTGGTGACGCCGTCCTTCCTGCCGATCTGGCAGTAGAGAATCATGGAGAAGACCATCCCGAAGATCTGAGAGAGAAAGTGAAACATTAAAGATGTTCTGTTCACTGAAGTCATTTCAGTACAAAGTAAAAGTACAGTGAGGAGGCATCAGAAGTACTTCCAACGAAGATGAGTAATATCCGATTAAAGTTCTTAAAAGTGCATGCGTGTGCGTGCTCACCAGCAGAATGGCGATGGCGAAGGCGATCCCCAGCACCACCTCCATGTTGGTCTCCATCAGACTGATGATTCGGGTGGAGCACGGCTGCGGGACAGGACGTTGGTGATCACTCTAATCCATCCACACACACACACACATGTACATGTGCACGTGTGCACGTATGTAGCTCACCGTGGTGTACACGCCGGAGGTGGAGCATTCTGGCAAGGTGCCGTTGCAGCGACACGAGTCAGGAATTGGCGTCCATTCCGACGACCCAGTGACGAGGCCGCAGCACTTCAGCTGCAAGGCGAGCACAACGCCGCTTGCTCATCAACATTTCCCTCAGAGCCGGATCCCAACCTGTGTGTGTGTGTGTGTGTGTGTGTGTGTGTGTTACCTCGGCCTGCAGCTTCTCCAGGTCCTCCCTCACGTTGGCCGGCTGCGATGAAAGCGGTGTGAGTTTGTCCAGACGTTCCTTCACCCAGTCCTTCACCTGCAGACACACAAACCAGGTGAGGTCACATCGTCCCGGCGGCCAGCAGGTAACCCCCGGGACGACATCACTTCCTGTTTCACCTTCTTCCCCTCCACGGCCCCCAGGATGCCCAACGCCAGCAGGAGGACGAAGATGACGAGGAGGCTGATGAAGAACTGCGGGAAAAGAGGAGGAGGAGCCGTCAGGATGAAGATAACTTGATGATTATCTGAGCCGATTAAACGCTTAAAGCTAAATTATCGCGGCACATTTGTACAAAATTAGCATAAAAGTCACGTTAACTTTGTTAAGAAAGTCCAGAACTCATTTTATAGTACATCAATTAATATTATACGTCATTAAACAGTCATATAGTATTTCACAAGGTCGTAGAAAGCTGATAAGTAGTGTTCAAAAAGTATAGAGGAGTCATAATAGATTACAGTGAATGTCAAAAGTCATTAAAAGTACTGATAGTGGGTTCAAAATAGATTTAGTTTTTTTTAAGTAACAAGATGGTTTGTTAAAAATTACACGCATGTGTCCATACTGGGATAAATACGTGTGACAGGCTCATATAGAACACGCATGTGTCCATACTGTGATAAATACATATGACGGGCTCGTATAGAACACGCATGCGTCCATACTGTGATAAATACGTGTGACAGGCTCATATAGAACACGCATGTGTCCATACTGTGATAAATACATATGACGGGCTCGTATAGAACACGCATGCGTCCATACTGTGATAAATACGTGTGACAGGCTCATATAGAACACGCATGTGTCCATACTGTGATAAATACGTGTGACAGGCTCATATAGAACACGCATGTGTCCATACTGTGATAAATACGTGTGACGGGCTCATATAGAACACGCATGTGTCCATACTGAGATAAATACGTGTGACGGGCTCATATAGAACACGCATGTGTCCATACTGAGATAAATACGTGTGACGGGCTCATATAGAACACGCATGTGTCCATGTTGTAGACGGCGCGTCCCACCATGAGCAGCATGCAGCGGTTCTCCCTGATGGCCCCCCAGCAGCCCAGGAACCCGAGCAGCATGATGATCACTCCGATGGCGATCATCAGGTCGAGGCCCGGGATCGCTTCGTTGGTGATCTGGAGAGAGACGACCAATCAGCATCTGACACGAGATCAGCGACACCCGAGAGACGTTTCATGACGTTTAGAGCTTCTCACCACGTTTCCATCCTTGTGCACCTTCAGGTAGATGGAGACGCCGAGGATGACGCAACCACTCAGCTGCAGGAGGACAGGGAGGAGACATCCATGAGACACGGGCGCGCTACCCACCAGGAACCAGACCACCGCGTTACCATGGAGACCAGCAGGGAGCAGCTGATCAGCTGATCAGCGGTCATCAAACGGATGAGAGCGAACTAACGCACAAACGCACAAAACACACAAAACCTGCAGCTCCGGCTCAGAGTGAAAACTGTCATCTTATGTTTATTGTGTTGTAAACATGATTAGTCGTTGCTGTCGGTTACAGCTGATGACAACAGAGAGCAGGAGGCCGAATTCAAATACAAGCCAGTCTGGCTTGTAATTGTTCAGACGCTGGGTTCCCTTTGCGTTACGACCGCGTATTTCCTGTGCAGAAATGGTCCCTGAACGCAGCATCTGTTATTCATGTAGGACTGATGGAATATCAGCTGATCACAGCTTTAATACGAACATTTACAGTGAAATAACGAAGCTTGAATCCTTTAATTTAAACTATTTCCAACGTTGATCAAACATCTTGTTTTTTAATAATATATGAATAAATCTGTTGATCTCTGGCACAGCGTCCGTGTTAGTTTCTCTTTGTTTGTCCCATCAGGAAGCATCACTTGGCCACTAAAAGCTAATTAGACCCCTGAATGAGAGCCCCCCCCATCATGATTATCATGTCCACCGCGTCCCCCGAGTGGTACAATCAGGTTAACATTGATTTAAATCATTTCTGGGAACACAGACGGAAATAAACTGTCCGCCCGATGAGCAGAGCAGCAGCACATCGTACTCTGCAAACGCAGTTAAAGGTGGAAACTTTATCTGTCGGCTGAAGAAAAACACACATGAGATGTAAGAAGTTCAGTATTACAACAGGTGTTTAATCCAGTGCAAATACACAGTATATATATATATATATATATATATATATATATATATATATACACACACATACACACAGTAAGCAGGGTTAATGGGGAAACCGCCCATGTGAGACGCTGCTCGCAGGTTTCAATAGATGGACATGATGACGCGGCGCGGCGTCCACGCCCTGAAACTGAGACACCTTTGTGTCCACGAATAATAAAGAGCCACCAAAACCTGTTTGACTCCACCGGTCGGTTGACAGAGAGACGCTTCACACAGAGACAACCGAAGAATTAACGTTTAATAAGCAGAACTAAAACCACAGATGACGAGGTAGATAATAAATATAATATAATAGGAGTATAGTATAAATAGATCGATCGATACAAATAATCATCACCAGATCAATAAATCAACCCTCCATCGTAAAATCCAAACAGTTTAAGAGAGAAAATTCCTCCAAAGAAAACTAAATAAAGTTAAACTAAACAAAGTTAGAAGACATGAATCATCTCCAAATAAAACCAGTGAAAACAGACGTGATAAATGGCGTTTATGACTCAAACGATCACTTTTGTGTGGCGACTCACCCAGAAGAGCAGGTTGAAGAAGAAGAGAAAGAACTTGACGCATTTATTCACAGCCATGGCTTCTTCTGGTCGTCTTTACTCCTTCTGCAGCAAACAGCAGCTTCCTACAGGGGGGTCGGGCGGGGGCGGGGCCTCAACCGGCTCAACCCGTTTTGACTCCTCCCTCCCTCCCCTGGCCCCTCCCCTCCTCTCCTCCACCTCCTCTTCTAACCCCGAGCACGTGTTTTGTGAAAGGCCGTTTCAAACTGAATCAAACATAAAGTCCTAAATGTAGTTGTGTGATTCTGGAGCTTCAGAGGGTCTATCGGCTCCATAGCGCCCCCTGCTGGATTTTGGTGAGTGAGCTCACGTGGTACTTTTGACCTTAATGGACAAAATAAAAAAAATTAAAAAACCAACAGAAAGTCAGACATATTGAATTTGGTGAATTGATCAGATCAATTTCAAATGTTATCAAGGCCTTAGTGATGTTGAGGCGTCATTGAACAGCGCGTTGACATTGGGCGCCATTTTGAGTCACAGCGCCATCTACTGACAACTATGGCAGTGAGCAGGATTCTAAACGCACCAGACTTCTGTGATCAAAATATTCACAAAGACAAAAGTTTGATATCAACACTTAAAATCCTGCTTAAATGTGAAATTTTCATCAATATGTTGTTTATTGAGCCAGGCTTCATGTAAAGTAATTGTAATTTTAAAAGTTTGAAGTAAATAAATCTAAGTTTATTAAATCAAATAACCATCGTAACCAAGCATTATTCATATTATAGATTACACAGGAAATTTATTTTGACATTTTTTATTAATATTTGTCAAACAAATATTGTTTGACTTTTCTGCCCCATATTCTCTGACCGAATATTTTACATTTTTTTTAAATATTTTTACATTTTTGAGTATAAAAAAGGTCCATAAGAGTTCTTATGATATTTTTCAACCTAACATATTTGAACTTTTTTCTGAATATATATATATATATATATATATTTCCCATGAAAATGTTTGACCCAATATATTGTGACTTTTCCTAAAAAAAATCTTTGGCCTAATATTTCTTTTTTCTCCCGAAACATATTTTTTTTACTTTTTCTACCATGACATTTAGCAACATGGCATATGTTGACTTTCCTTCTCAGCATTTTTACACCTAATATTGTTTCTCCATGTATTTTTTACATTTTAGAGTTTATTGGACTTTTTCAACATATTTTGACGGATGTTTTTTTGCATTACATTTTTTCATTTATTTTAATGACATTTGTTTTTCCATGATCTTATAAATTAGTGATTAAAAAAAAGAAACAGCAAATAAACAATATAGTGATTATATTATAATGGGGGGCAGTGTTAAGCTTAAATTATACCTGAAAGTTTATGTCTAAATGCAGGGCCCAAATCACAAGGTTTTATTTCTTCTCAAGCGTCCGACATGTGGTGAGAACATGAGACGAGGGTCCGACGGACCACTAGTGTCTTTATCTATCGGGGCCACATCCCCCAGGCCAGGCCGGGCAGGATGAGCGCCACCAGGACGGAGGAGAACAGGTTGACAGCGTTGTTGTCCAGGATGGGCTTGCCACAGATCCGCCGGGTGGTGGCCGACTGGTAGTTCACCACCTTCCCGATGCTGGCGTCGTAGCCTGCGGGACACGAGAGGGAAACTTCCGCTCACAATCTTTAACCAACTCTTCTCCTGTCTCCACCGTAACAACCTCCTTGACCTCCACCAGTCAGGCTTCAAGGCCGTTCCACAGAGACTGCTCTCCTTGCTGTCTCAGAGCAGCTCCACACTGCTAGAGCTCCTCTCTGTCCTCTGTCCTCGTCCTTCTGGACCTCTCTGCTGCATTCGACACAGTCAACCACCAGATCCGTGTCTCCTCCCTTCAGGAACTTGGTGTCTCAGGCTCTGCTCTCTCCCTTCTCTCGTCCTACCTCGACGAACGCACCTACCGGGAAACCTGCCGAGGATCTGTGTCTGAACCTTGTCCTCTTACTGCTGGAGTTCCTCAGGGTTCCGTCCTGGGTCTCCTCCTCTTCTCGCTCTACACCAACTCTCCCTCGCTGTCATTCACTCGCATGGCTTCTCCTACCACAGCGATGCTGATGACACCAACTAGTTCTCTCCTTCCCTCACTCGGGTCTCTGCCTGTCTGACTGACATCTCTCAGTGGATCCGCCCACCATCTGAAGATCAACCCCGACAAGACGGAACTACTTCTCTTTCTGGGAAAAGATTCTCCGACACAGGATGTTAACGCCCACTTTGACAGCAGGAACCTCGGCGTGACGTCGACAGCCGACTCTCCCTGACTCCCAACATCACTGCACGATCCTGTAGATACTCGCTCTACAGTCTAAGTTGTAAATCGGCTTATTTGAGGAAATTTCACTTTCTTGTTTCTTGTTCTTCTGAGTTTGTCTCCTTATGGTTGAAACGTTGTCTTGTTTCTCTGTGACTCATTATCCTTCGGCTTTTGGACCAAATGACTCGTCTTGGTTCCTAACCTGAGTACTGCATGTGAGCCCCCAGGAAGGAGTCCAGCAAGGACCCCACCAGGCCGGCCACGCCCCCGTACACCACGATGGGCCACTGGGGGTTCACCAGGTCCAGGTCGTTCACCAGCAGGAGCTGCGTGGCGTAGTAAGCCCCGCCCACCACCAGCCCACCCAGGAAACTGGCTACGAGTCCCACAGTGGTGACGCCCCCGTTTGTGCCTGAGCAGAAGAGAGAGAAAGTAGATCCAGAGCTTCAAACGTCACAGCAACAACGCTACACTTGTACAACGTAGCTGGGAACCGACTGACTCTTTACGACTCCCTGAGCAAGACACCTAACCCCTAATTGCTCCCCGGGCAAAAATGTGAAAAAGCCACAGGTTTAAAGTGTAATGTAAGTTGCTTTGGATAAAAGCGTCTGCTAAATGTAATGAAAACCCTTTTATTGCACAAATCTGATTTAGAATCTCACCACAAATACACAGTTTGTGTTTTATTACAACTGGGAGGCCTTGTTTGATCCTCCATGTTGATGTTATGATATAAACCATATTTAAAATGAAGTCTAAATGTCGATACGGTTACTTTTTGATAGTTGATCCACGCTTTTGTTTTGTTTTTATTTGGAAAAATCTCCCATTGAAAAACTATACTATTTTATTTTTTAAAAATTATACTATTAACTATTTTTCCCAAATAGTTATCAAATATTCGTATGTTTTTTCACCTGCAGGGACTTCCTTCCAGGTGGTGATGAGTCTGGGCTTTGATTGGCTGAGGACGGGTCCCACCTCCGAGGCCCAGGTGTCCCCGCAGCTGCAGGCCAGCGCGCCCAGCAGAGAGAGGCACATCCAGGAGGCCGTGTACTGCCTGCTGAAGTCGATGGGCATCTCACCTGGACCCACCTGAGGCCGGGATCACATGTCAGTCACATGACACAGGCCGAGCTCACGTGCCAGTGTCACATGACACAGGCCGAGCTCGCGTGCCAGTGTCACATGACACAGGCCGAGCTCACATGCCAGTGTCACATGACACAGGCCGAGCTCACGTGGCAGTCACATGACACAGGCCGAGCTCACATGCCAGTGTCACATGACACAGGCCGAGCTCACGTGCCAGTGTCACATGACACAGGCCGAGCTCACGTGCCAGTGTCACATGACACAGGCCATATATTTTTTACATGTAGAAATGTCGCTTCTTGTGGATTGAGAGAAACTTAAGGAGGAAGTTTTACCTCGATCATGTAAAGCAGTGCGAGCTCTGTGGGAACTCCTCCGTTACAGAACACCTGGATCCAGTTCCTCTGACCGCCTGATCAAAAACAATTCCACTTGTTAACACTTTGCATCCATTTTAAAAAGGGAGAACAACGAGTTTCTCACCTTCTTTGTACTCGGCGTCTAGCTTCCTCTTGTGCGCCCCCCCCCAGCGAGTGAGTTTGGTGGAGGTGATGAAGAAGGCCAGCAGGGCGGAGAAGAAGCTGTAGTTGGCCATCGTCAGCACGAAGCCAACGAGCAGAGCTGAGGAGCACGAGGTGCAAGAGCTTTAGACGAGAACTACCTCCCAACCGTCTGCAGACGAGAGCCCTTCACGGTCTCACAGGAAATACGAATCCCAAGAATCAACAGCGCTGCTTTTTAAAATAAACTGCTGTTGATATAAAATGCAGAACTTTCAATGCAATAAGTTCAAAAATCTAGAAAATGTGCGACCAAATAAAAACGAGACACAAATGATGTGATCACGGGTCCTTAGATGTTCCTGCATCATTCATGGGGGGGTTTATTTTACGCATTTAAAAGTGATTTGTTGACAACGAGGAAAAAATGTTTTTAAAAAGGTGTAAGAAACTTTCAGCACATTTTTACTCAGGATGAACGACGTTAACTCGTTGTGGGCCCTAAAAAAACAAACGCGCTCAAAGAGCCCGAAAGGCCTCGCAGAGCTTCTCGTCACTACAGGAGCATCACACATTATTCATATTTGCCCCTCACCTCCCAGCGCTCCGGAGTAGCTCAGACTCTGTCTCTTCAACCCTCTGGCCGTCAGCGTGAGGGGAACCAAGATGGAGAACAACCATCGCCACGGCGACACAGGCTGCAGTGTTCCTGGGAACATAAACACACGAGATGAGAACCTCAAACGTTTCTCCCCCTGAGGAAACGCCGCTGGTTTCCTAAACGGTGCCAACGAACATGTGATTTGAGAGGGACACGAAATGTCGGTGTTTCAACATGAAGGACGTATCTTCACCGCATTTTACAATAAGCTTCTCAAACGAGACCGGCCCACTGGAGGGAACCAGCTGTCAGAGAACGGGAGGTTTTCTAAAGGGACCCTGGTGCTCAGAAACACTTCCGCTGTGGAATCACCACCAGACAAACAGCTGTAGCGTCCTCACCGTAGTAGCTGCTGATGGTGATGGAGATCATCCAGAAGGACAGGGAGAGAGCCAAAGTGGCGCACAGCACGATCATGTCGGTCATCATCTTGATGTACTCCTTCATCAACACGTCACTCTCAGAATTCATGCTGACGGACGTCCCGCGCTGCGGGACAGGAGACGGAGTAGAAACGTCAGCGGGACCTCCGAGTGTCAGATCACAAACACGCTGGTCGTTGTGTTTTTACATCGGAGCTGCAGACCAGAGGGTGTTTGGTTCTGACTGTGCTTTGGGTGGTTCTGCACCAGGCTCCATTCAAAAGAAGAATAACTGACTATAAGCGGCATTGCTTGTACACAACCGACCACACGGCGGCTCCGTGGGAATTTAACCTCGTGTGCAGTCGAAACTGTGCTCAGTGAGAGCGCGACTCATTTTATTTTATTTATTGGCTCCCGGGAATCTTCGTAAATGCAGATTTGGAAGAACGGCTTTGTGGCTTTTCCCTTCTGCGGCGCGGTGGATGTGAGTTACTGCTGGATGAGAGCAGCGCCTCATGCCCAGCTCCTCGGGGGAAACACGCCTCCACTTCGGATTCGCTCCAAATCGACTGGTTGAGCTTCCGAATGAAACAAACCATTCAGTGATTAGATGTGGATCCGTGATGACGAAGACGAAATGCCATTAACCCGCTTTAACGCAACTGGTTGTTTTGTTTCTGCACAGCTGAAAAATGTTTATGAAAGGTTTTTATGTGAATCATGGGGCAAAATATGCACAATATACTTAAATGAACACAAAACGTTTGCCTGCAGGCCAACAAGAGGAACTGTGTGTGTGCAAACACACAAAAACACACGAGCATCTGCAATGACTAAAAGTAATCAGAATAATAGTTTTACTTTGTGTTTGCTGCATAATTCAGAGACGTTAAGAGTCAAAATGCAAAGTCAACCAGAACGACAACTAACGGACTGCGAGTCTGCAGATGAACGCGTGATCCCAGCGTGTGACGTCACGGGTCACGTGTATAACAGAGTTATAGGGCATTCGCGTGTTGCACCTGAACTCCTTTGGACTTTGGACCATTTCCACGTGTTTCCATGTGAAGGACAACTAACGTTACAAACGGCAGCAGCGTGTCGGTGAACTCACCGGTCCTCCGCGCAGCCATCGCTGCTAGCTGACGTTAGCTCGTTAGCGTTTCAAACGCCTTGAATTCATCTTTCCAGCGTGAAACGGCGGCTACACACGCGCGTGTCTTTCGTTGGGACTCAAGTGGAGTAAAACAAGGGCATTTTAACACGTAGTCAAACGAGACGAATCCGCGTCACAGCGACGCCTCCAGAAGACACCGTTTTCTCCAGGACTTCTGGGTGCGTCACGTGACGCTTTCTTCTTCGCGTGTTAAATCAAAGGCGGCGTGCTGCCCGGCTTAGAGGCCGTTACCGCCGCCTCCTGGTTTGGAGTCAGTTTGCTACGAGGAAAGCTTGTTTAAATCCATACAAACTCTATTACTGTCATTCTTGTTGTTGTTCTGACGGGAGCGGAGCTCTCCTCCTCGTCTCGTTTACCGATGGAGGTCTACAGAGGATCAGGTCTACATTGGGACTGGTTCCTAATATAGAGAATTGGTTCTCAAACGGGGTACCTGAAGGCACTCCAGGGGGTACGTGAGATTTCTTTCTAAATACCTTAAAAATTGGCTGAAGCGTAGCAGCACTGCTGCTGAAAACACGTCCACGAGATCCAAACCCCCAAAGCTTTGTGTCGTTTCAGTGTTACACTTGAATCACACTGTGATGGGACAGCGCCGTGTATCTAGCTGCATTATTCCATTATTTCCTCCCTCACAACAAGTAAATTCCTTTTTCTAAACTTTGTTTACGTCTTATGTTCTTGCAGGTTTTCCCTCCTTGCACTCCTCCACAAACATAACTCACATATATATTTGGATATATATATGTGTATTTTGATCTCAGCCTGCAGTAATGGAGTAAGTAACAATGTATTACCGGTGCCTGGCTCAAAGGCACGACATGGTTAAAATGCCACAAATTGCCTGGTTTGAATTCAATCAAATTACTGCAAAACAAACACCCAAAACCCAAAAGAGAGGAGTTCACTTACCGAGCTGAGAGGAGGAGGAGAGGAAAATTAATTTGTGCTCATTTTGAGGAGACTTTAAAGGAGAGCAGATCCACGCCTGTAGAGGGGGGGGGGGGGGGGGCAAACTGGGAGGGACGCCTGTGTGAAACACGCCTTGTGATCAGTTTCCATCCATTTATGATCAATTCTGATGAAATATGCGAGAGTCCGCCGCCATGTTTCTGAACGTTTGAATGTTCCGTGATGGCGGGAGACCGAGGAGAGCACGACGGTCCCATGGAGAAAACCAGGGGCTCATCAGTGAATGTAGGACCATCCTCTGAGGACCATGAATATCTGAAGTCGGACAAGTGAGAACTGAGAGGTTCGGGTGGAGCTGACGGAGGCGTCGAGGATTCAAGTCTAAGAGATTACAGCATGAGAGTCTGTTCCAGATGTCATTGTGATGAATCGAGTGCTTGTTGATGTAGATGTGGACCTCGTTGCTGTTCACGCTGCTCAACCATCTGAAGCAACTAGTCAATGAAGAATTTGTCTTAATAAACAGGCCGAGGGGCCTCGTCGGAATCAATTGATGATCTGGAAAGTTTCCAGGAAAGATCTGATTCCTAATTTGTTTTGGCTTTGAATCCTTTTACTCAGAAACGAGCGCAGTGACTAAATGACGGAGAGCATTGTAGATCCGATACGGTCTAATGGGTTTGGGATCTGTACGTCATAGATTTTTTATTTGATGTGAGAACTGTGCGGACACGCTTTTTAGTTTTGGTATTCAGATAAATGTGTCTGCAAATGTATACTTAGGTTTGTAAATATGTGTACGGAATATTGTGTACTCTGGTTTGCATATATGCGTTGTGAAGTTTGTCAATATATATATATATATATACACTGCAGTAATATATAATATATATATACTGCAGTAATATATAATATATATATACACATTTGTGTATATATGTATATATACGTGCAAGTTTGTGTCAAGCATTAATATATGCACATTAATATATGCACGTTTAGTTGTTTTGTTCTTAGTTTAATGAGGCGCTTTATTTTGGTAGTCTTGGCTCGCCGTAGTGTTTACTTCCGCTAGAACCAAGATGGCGTCGGGCATTTAGCCGGTTAGCCGAATGAAGGCAGTTTGTTTCAGATGTTGTGGTTTTAAGTACATGTTGAAGCAATTTACGGCTGCATTGTCAAGATAGCGGCCGCTTATAACGTCGATCTGTCGGTACAACGCGTTTTTTTTGTCGTAATGATCTTTTTTCTTGACTTCCGTTGCTAACGCGTTAGCCGGCCGTTAGTCCGTCGCAGCATCTCAATGGCGGAAGCGACGGAGGAGCTGCGGCCCGTTCCCCGCGAGCGGGCCATCCTGGAGAGCTTCTTCACGCAGCTCGGCATGTTCTCCTTCGACCGGGCCAAGGACTACGTGGAGAAGGAGAAGGACGGCAGCTCCAAGGCCGCCGGGCCCACCTGGGCCGCGCTGCTCGCGGCTCTGGCTCACCTGGCCGCCGCGGAGAAGGCCTACCACCACATGACGTTCCTGGGGCAGAAGATGGGTAACGACACCTACACAGAGTATAATGTGTATACTGCGTACATGAAGTACTGTCACTGAGGTCCTAATATTTATGAATATGTTTAAATCTAAAAACGGGCTGCATTGTATCGAACATTGTCCCATAAATCAGTTGTAAGGATAAAATAATCCTGAGTAAAATAAGCGTTTCTTCCGTGAAACGGAATCTCCACCATGTAAGTAAAGGGGTCCAATCGGAGGTGGACCTTGTCCTTGAAGGTGAAGCGATTACTTGTCTGCATCGCCAGAGGGCGCTGCAGCACTTTATCTCCTTCATCTCCTTCCTCTCTGCAGGCAGCCAGAGCTTCTTCAGCCGCAAGGACTCCATCCGCACCATCTACGCCTCCCTCCACAACGAGCTGAGGAAGGTGATGACCTCGGGGCGCCACGGCCAGCCAGGCTCCGCCTCCTACCTGGAGGACCTGCTGTCGCACCTGTCGGAGCAGCTGTGCCACTTTGCGCAGGCGCGCACGGAGATGGCCGACCTGTACGAGAAGATGCACTCGCTGGCCGGCCAGAAGAGCGTCAACTCGGAGGAGCTGGTGGGCACGCTGGAGGCCGTGCTGCACAAGTACAGCTCCAAGTGGGTCTCTTTGTTTACTTGAGCGCACAATCAAACCGAAGCGGTTTAAGTTGATTTAAAAAAGAAACAAAAGCTAAATCCCAGCGATTAGAGGGTTCCCAGTAAAACGTGGGGGGACCCCCACTGACCTGCTCCTCCCCCTCCAGGTTCCACCACCCCATCCTGGGCCGCGTGGAGGAGGGCTTCCAGACGGAGGTGGACGTGGTGACCCAGCTGCTCCGCTGCCAGGCGCAGGTGTCGGAGTGGCGCTTCCTGCCGGCGCTGCTCAGCCTGCACGCCGCCACCTCCAAGCTGGCCGCCTGGGGCCAGCTGTTCCAGCGGCAGAAGGAGACCCGCAAGCACCTGTTCGGGGGCCAGTCCCAGAAGGCCGCGCAGCCGCCGCACCTGTACGCCTGGCTGCAGCGCTTCCAGGCGGCGCTGCTCGCCAAGTTCAGCTTCTACTTCCACGAGGCGCTGAGCCGGCAGGCGGCGACGGCGGCGGACATGCGGGCGCTGACGGCGCGCGCGGCGCCCGACTACCACGGGAAGATCTGCAGCTTCATCCGCAAGCACGACGCCAGCAACGTGTCGCTGGTGTTCGACAACCGCGGCTCGGAGAGCTTCCAGGGCCACGGGTACCACCACCCGCACTCGTACCGCGAGGCGCCCAAGGGCGTGGAGCAGTTCCCCGCCGTGGTGTCGCTGCCCTCGGGCGAGCGCCCGCTCACGCACTGGCCCAGCGTCATCATGATGATGGGCGACCGCGCGGCGGAGCTCAACGCGCCCGACAAGGTGGTGCACTTCTACGACGACAAGGTGCTGAGCACCTACTACCTGACGCGGCCCGAGCCGCACTTCACGCTGGTGGTCATCTTCGACGGCAGGAAGTCGGAGAAGGACGCGCACATCGCCGGCTTCCTGCAGGAGATCTCCGGCTCGCTGCGCAACTCCAAACCGTTCAGCAGCCTGAAGCCGGGCTCCAAGGGCTGATTCACGCCTTCAGTGATGTCCTCCTTGGTCTCCTTGGAGAGGAACGCACCTTTAGGACTGATTAGGGGGGAAGAACGTCCTCCGAGTCCCAAATGTCCAGTTTCAAAGCGTTTGAACATTTCAATAAAACACCTGGAGGATTGTGGAATGTTCAAAGAAGACGACGTGTGATGACTTGAATGCTAATTTATTCCGGGTTTATTTATAATATAAATACAAGACATTGATACCATTCATTTGGCTATATGAGCTCATCTCTTTAGCGAAGCTCGGTTCTCAAATACCGAAGACAGAAAACCACGTCTCTGCTTTTAAACCGTGAAACACATTCAAATAAAAAAAAAAAGCCAACGTCCCGATATGAGTTAAAAAGCACCAAGAGTCGAGGTGCAACATGCCGAGTACACGAGTCCTATACGTCAAAGTGCAAAGTCACAACGGGTTAATGCTAGAATTCATAATTCAGTCATCTACTAAACACTTTATGAGTAATTCATTGAGTGCTGCTGCTCCTCGTTCAGGACATGCGTGAGTGGTCCCCCCCCCCCCCATAACAAAGAAAACTAAGACCGGGATTAAAAAGAAAAAGGCACTTTCACATGTACACACACACACACACACACATCCACACACACACAAATGTGTTACACATTCAGTGTGCTTTTCAAGTGTTTTGTTCTTTTTGGAGAAGTTTACACACAGAAGCCCCCCCCCCGCCTCCCCCCCCCCCTCCTCGTTAGCTTATTGTGAATTCTTAAGGTTCACTAGTGACTTCACAAGCGGGTACATCAGTGTGTGTGCACGCACGCACGCACACAACGCGGCATGCTTTTTGCACTTGGCGTGTTGTGGCACTCGAGGCGGGCATGAATTACCCATCATACATCACTGTCACACGGGAGCAGGACGAGGACAGGGGCGCACGCACACTAAGCGTAGGTCCCGGGGAGCCGCTCGGGGGCCCTGAACGCAACGCGCAAACCGGAAACACAAGAAGGCCATATTTTAAAACGGTTGAGCTCGTTGCCGTGGCGATGGCGGCGGCAACTCGCCGAACATTCAGTTGATGGGCGAACAGTCGTTGGGGCTCTGGAGACATTCATTGAACAGGTTTAGCAGCAGGAAAATCAAAACGCAAGCGGAAGCGGTCGCTGAGCGTCTTGTTGCCGTGGCGACGGCGTCGGACGCAGCAGCTGATCTGGTCGCTTCGCTTATTCGTAGGAAAACAGCAGCCTTTTTTCTTCTTTTTGGCAGATCAGCCTATCGCCATGACGACACATTCACACCACTGTAACTACATTTCCACTGGAGCTGAACTACCCCCCCCCCCAACCCCCCCCTTCACTTCCTGTGTCTCTTCTTCTAGTTAACCTTTGATAAATGCTTCAACACACGGAGAAAGTAAACTCCTACACACCAAGAGAACACAGCGACCTGACGACACGTAGAATATCATATGTTATATTATGTTTGTTACTACATTAAACCCTCATTCATTAGAACCCTGATCTCCGCTTTGGGCCCCGGGTCGGCCCGCTTCCGCCCGCTTTGGCTCACATTGTGCACGACTTATCCAGCGGCGGGGGCGGCGGCGGGGTGCTGCTCTTGGGCGGGACCGCGGGTTTGGGCTTGAGGGCGGGGGGCCGCAGCGGAGCCCCCACGCGAGCCCCTTTGAAGGAGCCCAGGGTGTCGGGCGACGGGTTGGTGGTTCGGGGGGGGCCCGGCGGAGGTCCGGGGAGCGGGCTCATGGGGCTCAGAGGGCTGAGGGGGCTCGGGGTGCCAGGGGTCCCTGGGGTGCTGGGCGTGCTGTGGGGGCTGGGGGACTCGGAGGAGCAGGTGGTGCTCGGCCCGTTCTTCACCTGCTCCAGAGTGTCCAGCACCACGTCGGGGGCCGGACGGCAGCCATGGCGCTCCAGCTGCCTGAACTCCCCCAGGGCCACGGTCACCGTCTCCTCGATGTCCTGCAGAGACAGCAGAGACACACCTGGAACACCTGTTTGTGCCCAACATCTGGTCCCCTTTAAGGAGGGATCGGTGTGTGTGTGTGTACCTGAGCCAGCGTGTCGGCGTCCATGGCTCTGGAGCGGTGGGGGTCACTGAAGCCGTGCTGCCCGCTGCTGGAGCGGCGGATGGGCGTGTCCTCCGGCCTCCGCAGCGAGTCGTGCCGGCTCACCGTCATGGTTACGGCGGCCGCAGAGCGTCGGCGACGCTCCCGGGCTGTCGAGGGGCGGAGTCACTCCCTGGCCCCAGCCCCAGCAGCAGGTCCCCTGGGGCTGAAGTGACCCGTCACCGGGGGCGAGCTCCGCTCCATCACCGCCCCGTTCCCGTGGCAGTGGGAGTCGTTGGAGCGGCCGAGGGGGCGACGGAACAAACCGTCGGTCCGCTTCCTCCTGTGACTGTAAACAGGAAGTACAAAGACAGTAAACAGGAAGTAGAGAGGGGCCGATCACACAGGAAGCGGCTGCATTAGAAAAGCCCCCAAAATAATTGGTTTCACCGGGCGGAAAATTTGGGGCGACCGCTCCGAATTATCTGGTGACCCTTTGAAGGCTGCCGCCCTCTATGTTGGGACCCACGGGACTACACAGCTTACTTCTCGTACTCCACACCGCCAGTATGTCATTTGAACGCTTCTACGCCGTTGTACTAATACCTCAGTTAAGGGTATGAATACGTCTTCCAGGGGTGGAGGGAGGGTGGAGGAAGTCACATGATAGACGGCGTGGTGAGATTCACGAGGTATTTTTAGAGGTGAGAGAACATTTCAGCTCCAGAGATGATCTCTGTGGTTCTCACGGACCCGTCGTAGGTCTCTGATGACGGAGGTTCTCTCCCGTCACAGACCCGACGGAGGTTCTCTTACATCACAGACCTGTTGTAGGTCTCAGGAGGGCGGATGTCGGTGGGGGAGCTCAGCTCGCTCCGGCTCCTCTTGTCCTCGGTGCTGCTGCTTCCTCCGTCGCTGTCGTTCTTCTGGCTGAGCGACTCGGAGCCGACGTCGACCCTGAAGACGCAACGAGAGGCTCCGTCAGGACGGAGGAGATCAATAGGGTGGAGGTTCTGTTTTGGTCATTTAATTTACACGATAATAAAAGCCTTTTATTGTTCACCACATCGTTATCTTTGTAAACGCGTTGATGGACAGGAATAAAACGTAAACCCCGTCAAAATAAGAGCGCGTGGAGGAGCGGTGGAGCCGTGACTCGCCTGTCCTTCACCACGATGTACTGGTGAGGCACCAGGCCGCGGTGCCCGCCGTGCCGCCCCTCCCACCAGTCATGTGACGCGCGCTGGAAGAGCTGCAGGGACGCTCCCTTCTTGAAGGAGAGCTCGCGGCCCGACCGGCCCACGTAGTCGAACCTCGCCACCGCCTCCACGCCCTCGCCCTCTGCCGGAGAGAGAGAGAAGGGGAGGGGGGATAAGAACAGAGGACATATAGGGGAAGCCTGTCAATCAACCGTCTCTGCGGCTTTGTTCCTCCCACAGATCCACCAATCAGAGAACAGCATGGAAAGTCTTTTCTGTCAAATCGGAGTGAAGCAGAAGGGAGGAAAAGGGCGGGTGGGGTGTAGAAAAGGGAGGGAGGTGTCGGTGGAGATGTGTCTCCATGGCTGCTGTTGCCGTAGCAACCCCCTCTCCTTCAGAACGCACACAGAGAGGGATGGAGTGCGTGTGGGCGAGCGCTGTGTGAAGGTCAAGGGTCGCCGTACCCTCGTCGCTGGTCTGGGTCTCGGTGCCGCCGTCGGGCTCGGCCTCCTCCAACGCCCCCGGCTCGCTGAACGGACTCTCGCTGCGGGGAGGACAAGAAGACGAAGAGGCGTCAGATCGGCACGCCGTCCATTCAGCACGGGCACGAAGGGGAGGAGGCACAGACGGAGGCGGGGCTGCAGGAAGTGGCCTCACATCCTGGCAGATCGGCTCCATGGAGGAATGCAGAAGTAGGAGTGGGCGGGGCCTGTGTGCCCCCCCCCTCCGTGCGGCCCCCCCGTGGAGTCTGCCAGGCTACCTGGGGGGGGGGGTGGACTCACCAGTACTGGTCTCCGGTCATGCACTTCTCGTAGACGGGGCCGGGCAGCTCCTTGGCGTCGGGGAAGATGTTGTCGTGGTTCAGGATCACCGTCTTCACCACCTCGTTGACGTGCGCCTGACAGGCCACCTGGTCCAGGGCGTCCGGCGTGGGCAGCAGGGTGGGGCCGAACACGATGGCCAGGTTCCCAGCGTCCATCATGTTCTCGTCGCTGTACTGGGAGAGGCTGTGGGGGGAGGAGGGGGGGGGGAGCATGTCACTGTACAAAGTCTTTCTCTCCTGTCAATCAACACGCTGCCTCTTAATTACTGCTCAGGGCTGCGCGTTAAAGCATGCTGGGAAATGGAGGCCCCTGTCGAGGATAAAAAGGTGTGTGTTGCTCACTGGTTGAGGAAGGCAAACAGGTAGCGCATCACCACCAGCGTCGCCCTCGGGACCCCCAGCAGGATCTTGCGGACGCACTGAGCCCTCTCGTACATGTTCTCAATGCCTGAAGGGACATCGGCAGAAGAGACGCTAGAGAGGACACGTTGTCTTCTGTGGGACGCACCTTCAAGGTCACATGTTAGCGACTATACTAGCCACACCGACGGGATGCGTTCCATTTAAAGAGGAGGAGACTTTGATGCTTGTATGTAAGCAAGCCGGTAAATGAGTGACGCGGTGCTCAGGTCGTGAGCCGGTGACTCACGGACGCAGGAGATGAGGTCGTTGAACCTCTCCTTGGGGAACAGCGGGTTCTCCAGACCCCGGAAGTAAAGCTTCAGCACGCCGGCCACCGAGTTGATGTCGTGGTTGCTCTCCTCGTCGATCAGCGGGTCGTTACCTAGGCAACGACACAGACACGACGGGTAAACCGCGTATGTCCTGGCCCCTCCTCCCCCGAGGGTCACGTGACCTTCTCACCTCTCTCGAAGGAGTTCTTGATGTCATTGACCTCCACCTGAGACCCCGACACGCGGAAGATGCCCTGGTGCTGAAGACCTGTTGGGATCAGTCACCGTGACAACAGCTCATCTCTGTGATTGAGTGAAGCTCACGCAGGAACTGGTCCTCATCTTCGTCTAATAATCATTGTTTCTACACAAAAGATGTCTGCAGGGTCGACTACGTGACATGAAACCAGAGGACCCCAGATGGAGGCTCACCGTGCAGGTTGATGTAGCGGATGCAGCTCTCCACCAGCAGAGGGATGGCTTTGGTCGAATCCTGTGGACAAACACATCGGTCCTTATTGTTTACATGTGATTCTTGTCAAGTTCTTATCCATGAGTCCTCCAGGTTATTCCAGCAGCTTCAGACAGTTGTTTGGGATGATTTTTGGTTAAAGCTATGGAGCCTCTATGTAGGTTTTATGAAGCATTTAAGGAGGCTTCAAGGAGCCTTTAGGGAGGCTTTATGGAGCCTTTAAGTAGCCTTTATGGAGCCTTTAAGTAGCCTTTAAGTAGCCTTTATGGAGCCTTTAAGGAGGCTTTATGGAGCCTTTAAGGAGGCTTTATGGAGCCTTTAAGGAGGCTTTATGGAGCCTTTATGGAGCCTTTAAGGAGGCTTTATGGAGCCTTTAAGGAGGCTTTATGGAGCCTTTAAGTAGCCTTTATGGAGCCTTTAAGGAGCCTTTATGGAGCCTTTAAGGAGGCTTTATGGAGCCTTTATGGAGCCTTTAAGGATGCTTTATGGAGCCTTTAAGTAGCCTTTATGGAGCCTTTAAGGAGCCTTTATGGAGCCTTTATGGAGCCTTTAAGGAGCCTTTATGGAGCCTTTATGGAGCCTTTAAGGAGGCTTTATGGAGCCTTTGTGGAGCCTTTAAGGATGCTTTAAGGAGCCTTTATGGAGCCTTTAAGGATGCTTTAAGGAGCCTTTGTGGAGCCTTTAAGGAGCCTTAAAGGGGACTTCATGGAGCCTTCATGGAGCCTTTGTGAAGCCTTTATGGAGCCTTTAAGGAGCCTTTGTGGGAGCCTTTAAGGAGCCTTCATGGAGCCTTTAAGGAGCCTTTAAAGAGCCTTTAAGGAGCCTTAAGGAGGCGTTTATGAAGCCTTTAAGGAGCCCTTAAGGGGCCTTCATGGAGCCTTTAAGGAGCCCTTTATGGAGCTTTAAGCAGCCTTTATGGAGCCTTTATGGAGCCTTTAAGGAGGCTTTAAGGGAGCCTTTATGGAGCCTTTAAGGATGCTTTAAGGAGCCCTTGGGGAGCTTTAGGAGCCTTTATGGAGGCTTTAAGGAACCTTATGAGCTTTAAGGAGCTTTAAGGAGCCTTTAGGAGGCTTTAAGGAGCTTTAAGGGACCCTTG